CAGCAATAACAACAACAGTGCGTCGACTACTCTCTCTCTTTACGCGCTTGATTCATCTCTCACTCACCCTCTCTCTATCACTCTCCCGTTCTGCCAAAACATATGGCAACGTCGCACCGCACCGTTGCTGGTGCTGGCTGCTTTTAGTTCTAAACGATTCATTGCCGCGTACGTGCGCGTTTTTATACGCAGCTTTGATTTTTCATTTCGATTTGTAATTGTTGTTGTGTCTTTTGTGTTTGTTTGCCCACTTTGATTCGATATTTGCTTATAATAATGTTTGTGCAACCATCAACAACAATAACTATAAAAACGACAACGAACACAATAGCGAGAATTGCAACAAACGTTTTTGCTGGCTAATGCAAAAGTGTGAGTTGTATTTAGTATTTCCAGTCCCCTCTCGTGCTCTCGCTCTCTTCTTCTCTATGTGCCTTTGTGAGTATGCGTCTCAGCTGTTGCTCTGTTCCTGTTGCTTGCGTGACTTTTCTTAGGCGCCCCTTCCAATGAATAACTACAGTGAAGATGTCTACTAATGCACGGCTTAACTTAACCAGTGAATTTTATTTAATTGGTGTTTTCTAACTTGAATTTCTGCTTGTTTTAAAAATATTATTAACAAGATTCAAATTGTATGCACTTTAAACAAAAAGTTATGTGAACGTCAGTTCGTCTGTTGTTAAACTTGCATTCAATTGCAATTGTTCATGTTTGCTGTAGCGAGCTTTTACCGTACTTATATCTGAGTGTAAATGCGCAACGTTTTCTTATCGCGCGTTTTGCTTTACGTCGCACGGCCTATCAGTTTTCTATAAATGTGTGTGCGTGTGCGTGCTTGTTTGTATTGCTATTGCATTTGCACAAGAAGTAGGTTATGGCAAAAAGAGCAACAACAACAATAAGAAGAGCGAGGAGAAGTAGAAGAAAATCAATCAGCAAAGTGGCTCAGCACGCAGTGCATGTAATTAACACGCAACCAACTGTTGTTGTCTGCGCTGCTTGGCTGTTCCAACTCTTGCTGCTCTTTCTAACTGTTAACATTGTGTTGTGTCTTGTTTGTTTTGATATAATGCCTATCGAGGGTGGTCTAAAAAATGTAAACATAGAAGAAGATAGAGATAGGAAGATTTACCTGGCTACGTGGTAAACTTTTCAGACGACTCTCGTAACGTTTTCCATATCGATGTAGCGACACAACTACGCTCTAATTGAGTGCGTACGAGCTGCAGCAACTTTATAAACAAACATGTTGCAGCAACCCCCCGAATGGAAAGTGTGAATACAAAAGAGACAATCAAACCCCCCTTCGCGCTCTCTCTCTCGCTGCCTCTCTGTCTGCACTCTCTCTTTGTGCGTCTATGCGGAATTTATGTATCGATTGAAGCTGTTGATGGCGGTGATGTAATTTGCATAAGCAACAACTCCATCTTCGACAACTCTGCAAGCCAACCACAGCATCTGAGCAGCTGGCAAACCACAGACTACATAATTTTTGGAGCGAGTTTCAGGTTTGATGCCCACCATAGCGTAGGCAGCGCAAGCGCACTGAATATATGTTGTTCCAATACCCTAACTAATTATCACGTCCAGTCCTTACAACTATCAAATGGCATTTGTAAATATTACGAAAATCACAAAATTATTCAAATGAAATTTCCCATTAGAGGTATTCTTATTTCTATTCTATACTATATATTTAATAGTCAACTTCTTGAATGAGTATAGACAATTACTTAGTTTGATTGCCGAAACTCTGTGAATTGCCGGCTAAGCGAACGAAAAAATAAACAAAATAATAAACAATCGAAATGCCTTAAGCCGTTGGCTTGTTCTATACAAATAAAATTATAGCAAGTGCCGATTGATGAGTTTAGTGGCAACGATTTGTCGATTTGAGTCAGCAGCAACCGCTGTGAAACTGAAATCCAAGTCACCAGCAGCAGCAGCAGGCAGACGTCAACGTTGCCTCTGCCTCACCTGCGCCTCCATCTCCTGTTCTCCGCCACCCACCCGCCGACAGACAGACAGACGAGACGACTCGAGTCGAGTCGAGTGTGTCATGCGACTGGTCTGGTCTGGCCTGGCTAAACATATAGCCGAGAGAGTAGTTGACGTCGAAGTCGTCGTCGTCGTCGTCATTTGCTGCTTTTAGACAATACTACAAGTTCCTACACCTACGACCTAGAATTTGCCGAATATGTCAACAGGTATATAGAGACAGCCTGTATATACATATATATACAATAAATTATTATATAAACATTGTACGTCAAACGCTACTCTATGCCTATATACATATGTTTATATCTCTATATATACCTATATGTATATAAATAATATATAAAAAAAAGCAGCAATATGTTTTAGCAATTGAGAAATTCACATATTGCAGCAAATTTTAGTCTATTGTGACATTTTATTTAAAGGCAAGGGCGTGGCACTCGATGACCTTGAACAACATTTATATACATATATACACAATAAATAAATATTAATATAAATATTACAAAATTAGTTGATTTTTTGCTTGTTTATTTTAACTTCAATTCGCTCGCTTAGCTTATCTTCGATAACATATATCGATAGCAAACAGTGTAAACATTTTATTTTCTCTCCCTACATCTAAAAATAACTCCTATCGATTATCTTTATTAGATTTACCCATAAAAAACTATAATTAGTTGCGATAAAAATACTCTGCCTGCAAATCAATGTTCTCAATATGTTAGTTGATTGCTCTAAACATTCCTTTTTTTTATCGACCAAATTGTAATGAAAATAAGTTTGATTTTAAAAATATTCTCTGCTTCGCTGCTCTGTTATAAGCAAATCGAAATTTAAATCTCGATTGTCTCATGTTAATAATTACATAATTATTCAAAGAAAATCAATGAAAAAAAATAATATTGCATAAACATTTCCTCTGGTGTCTTGCATCAAAGGCCAGCAGCTTCAGCCGTTCTATTTAACTCGTTTTTATCTAACACGATTCGCTTTTGAACTCTCGACCTTTGGCTGTTTGCGAGTGCGGCGCTCTTTGCCCTGCGCCATGGTCGTAAGCTGTGGCCCAGCTGTCGAAATTGATGCTCTTTCCTTCCAGTTGGGGTGGCCATCTCTCTTTTGGGCTCAATCACAACATGCGCAGTGCGTTGCTCTTTGTCTGATATGGGCCAAGTTTGGCAAGCCGGGCAAGTTGGTTCCATGGTGTAATGGTTAGCACTCTGGACTCTGAATCCAGCGATCCGAGTTCAAATCTCGGTGGAACCTAGCTTATGTAGCAAATATTTTTTTAATTTTAAAATGAAATATATCGACAAAATGAATATATAAATAAAAAATGTTATCTGCAAGCTCTATAAATGTACATGAATTGTTTATAAATGATTCAAAGTTTACTCTTTGATAAGCTTATTAAATATTGTGCAATTGAGTATGAAAATTACATTTGTAATTTACATGGAACTCAGTTCTCATTGTACAACGAATGTAAATAATTATAATTCTGATAAAGGGCGATGAATACTTATAATTAACAAGAAAAACAGTTGTAGATTGTAAACTTAAACAATTTAAACAGAGACGTAATGAATTGTCCTTTATTTAGCCCAAATATATGCAACATAAAGTTGTAAAATTTAATTTTGTATTCGAATTGTCTAAAGTTAAATATATAAATTTTAAATATTTTTTAATTAAAAAAAAAAACAAAATAACTATGTAAACAAAAGGTATTGGTATATCAATAATTTGTTATACATAATTAAAAAAATTACTACTAAACATTCGAGAAAATTAAAAAACTAACAACTTGCATAATTGTGTATAATTTTAATTGTATCTTATGTGATAAGCCAGGTGCGTGGCACCTTTGAAATAAAAATAGATAGGGATATTGTGTGTGGTGTCATTTGGATTTTAGTTAGGCAAATGCGTGGAATTTATTAAATTCAATAAATTTTATAGCCACGCACACGCAGCTAAAACCGTATCCATAAATTAGAACGAAAAAGTTGAGCAAAAATAAATGCCAACTAAATTACTTAAGAGCAAAGCAAACACGCATACACAGACACACATACACATGCACACACATACATAGAGAACTCCGCTAAACAACCCACACTAATGCTGCCAAAAAGCTTGGCCCAGTCAGCAACAACAACTCGAGTCAAGTGTCGGTCAGTCACATAATGTTTGTCATTTAGCTTGGGGGCAGCCAATTTGTAGCGCACTTTCATTGGCAACATGGGGCAACACCGTCAACAACAACAACAACGATAATTGACACAGATTAGTAGAAGCAAAGCTGGCTGCATTGGCGTTGTAATTTTTATTAGATAAAAGCAAAAAAGAAAAAAATTGTGTCAAGGGGGCTGCCTGACAACCAACAGCAATAGTAGTAGCAAAAGCAACAACAACAAAAACGACAACAATACAAATTAAATAAAATTAGCGTCTATTTTGCACGAAAATGTGTGTGAAAACAATTGGGGGAGATGGAAGATGGGCGCCATAAGCCAAATGCGAGCAGAGCAAAGCCATAGGCATAGCCGTACCATACAGCAACAACAAATTGTCGAGCGAAACATTTACACACGCGTCTAGCGACCGCGACGAAGGCAGCGCAGTCGCTGCGCTGCGCACACTGTCATTGCCGGCTGAACGCCCTACACATGCGCGTTGTAGCCGCTGTTGCTGTTGCTGCCATGCTCAATCTTCGTCTCCCTCTCCGTCTTGCCTTTGGCGCTCTCCTGCTTGAGAGCTTAGCGTGTCGGTGCATGTGTGTGTGTGTGGGCGCATAATGAGAATGAGGTTTTCGTACGACATTGAACTCGAAATGTGGGACTGAAGAATAACGAGTAAAACAAAAATATGGAAACAAGAAAACGAAATTAAAGCAAATATCGTGCTGGCTTTGCTTTACCTCTACATACGTTTAGTTGTTGCCGTTGTGTTTTTTTTTTCTTTTCTTTTGGATTAGTGCTGGTGCTAGGTGGCTGCCCTTTAGTAGGCATTGCCTTGTTTTTCAATAATAACAATATAAGCAGTAAAAACTCTAAAAAGTAATAAATATATGTAATTTTGCCAAATGCTGCCTGTTTAACGGTACTTTGAGTGCTCAGTTTTCCTGTGCACGCATCATACTAATTTTAGACACGATATTTTTGTTTTGTTTTTACAGTTGCGCTTAAAATATACTGGTACAAGGAGTGATTGTATTGAAATTGAATTTAGCAACAACAAATTAATTGTTGACCAACAAGGATAGGCGCGCGCACACACATACACACACACGCAGTCACATATACACACAGCAAACAATATGGTGGACTACTACAAAGTATTGGATGTTGCACGCACCGCCACTGACGGAGAAGTGAAAAAAGCGTAAGTACTGTAAATTTCCTGAAAGAGAATGGGGCGCTCTCTTAAGTCTTAAGCTTGGAATTGAGTAATCTTTGATCTCCTTGACATTGAGTACAAGATAAATGGCATGCACAGTGGAATGCATTTTGCAATGTCATTAGCTCAAGTCTAAGCGCAGTTAAGAGAGCGCAACATGACATGCTCTGGCTCTCTTTTGATTAATGCTTTTCTTTTAATTTATTTTCGCTCTAATTAATTTCTCTATCGCCGGCAGCTATCGAAAATTGGCACTCAAATGGCATCCAGACAAGAATCCGGACAATTTGGAAGAAGCAAACAAACGCTTTCGCGAGCTATCCGAGGCCTACGAAGTCTTATCGGATGGTAAGTTAACAACTTGCACAGGGTTGCCCATAAGTTCTATTTCCGTTTCGAAGTGTTATAACTGTAGGGCCACATGTGAATCTATTGGTTATCCTTATTGTTGTTGTTGTTGTTTGATGTATTTAGCCCGTAAGCGACGTATCTACGATGCTCGGTCCACGCTGCACAAAACGTCAGCAGCGAGCAGTAACAGCAGCAGCACCTACTCCCGCTATCGCAGCGGCAACGGTACATCCTCAACGAGTGGTCGTGACTACGACTACGATTATTATTATCCCAGCTATAGCAGCGGGTCAGCTGCCAGTAGGCGTGGCAATCGCTATCAGGCGTTCACCTTCCGCAACTTGTTCGAGGGCACACCGTTTCACAAACTGTTTGGTAAAAAGAACGACAAAAAAAGAGTGCAAGCGCATGTTTTTGGTTTTTATGTGGTAACACCATTGTTATTGCTTTGATTTATCTGTTTTTGTTTCTTAACCTTTTATGTACCCTGTACCAATTGAGAATGTAGCCAAGAAATGTAGAAAAATACTGTAAGAGTAGAAATATTGCTCAAATGGCCTTCAAAGAGTGTGTCCAAAACAAGTATATATACTTTACTAGTATAGTAGAGAGTATAGATACTTCTAGTCTAGGTAAACAGATACATTTATGTCGAGAAGTCTTTGAAATAGGTTAAAGCGCATAAAATGGCTAAGAGTTAGCTAGAGAAGTTATCAAGATGGGCTAATTCGTTAAGAATAGTAGATTTTGTTGAAAACTAGCATCGATAATTATCGATTTTATGCCTGGGATTTATGAAAGTGGCTAGAAAAGAGATATTTCCAGTGAAAACTCAGAAGATAAAAAAAAAAAAGATATGATAAGTATATTTATTATGCTTATTCTCTTTATTGATCAGTTAGCTGAACAGAAGTAGTCTATATGTCTACTAGAAAGCGTTCGTCTCGAAGCATATACAGTGAATTGGATTTTACAAACGATTTTTTGTGCATAAATCTAATAGAAAACTATTTTTGATTGATTTTGAAGAAGCTTTAACTTTTTTGTATAGAATTATTTGTTGAGTATAGCGCGAATACCAAATCTCTTATGGCATATATAGATAAGTACTATAATTGGACAATGTATTGTTACCCTTGGAATATCAATCTATCTATTTTCCAGTCGGTCACTTGCACTTTTTGTTTTTGCTTTTTTGCTAAACTGACGAACAACCTTGAAGCACATGAAGTACAATTTTTTCTTTGATTTTTCGTTACGTTTCGTATTTTTTTATTTTTGTTTATTTTGCCTTTTTGCAAAAACGCGCAAGCTACAAATTACATCCACCCACCAAACATCATCATCGGCATCAGCAACGTCATTAGCATCATCATTGTTCGCAGCTAGTTCATCAGCTGCAATTGTTTAGGCCTTGTCTAATGCCCTGCCCGCGCGTGTTTCTTTCTACTAAAAAGAGAAAACAAATTTGAAATACACTGAAAAGAATGAGTTTAACCCATTTCGCTTTCGTTTTTACAGAGAAGAAACGCCGCATTTACGATGAGTACGGCAAGGATGGATTAGGGGATCGGGCACAGAGCCGCACGCATGCTCGTCATCATTATAATACACACGACTTTGATGACTTTGACATAATGGGCGGCTTTCCATTCGTGTTCCGACCGCCCGAAGAGGTCTTCCGCGAGTTCTTTGGCGTCAATTCGCCCTTTGCCGACTTCTTTAGAGGTAAGCACGGTACAAATATGTCCCATATATATGCTTATCTAATCTGATCATTTTTGCAGACGCCAATGGCTATTCGCAGTCAAATGGCGCCACTAGCAGCAGTCGGCGTCATGGCGGACACAGCCTTAATGGCGGCGTCAACGGCGGTGGTGGCGGTGGCGGTGCAGCTCGCCATCATCATCATCACCAGCATAAATTGGCGAGCCCGTTCGGTGCGCCCATGCTCAACTATTCAATGATGGACTTCTTCATGCCCACCAGCGGCTTCACCTCCTTCTCTGCCAGCAACAGCGTCGCCACCGGCGGCGGCGGGCTCCACAGCAACGGAGCGGTCAAGCGCACCTCCACCTCAACGGTATTTGTCAATGGCAAAAAGCTGATGACCAAACGGTAAGACTTTCGACTCCAACTGAGTTTAGCTTTCAGTTATTAATAAGCTAAATCTTACCGTCTTTCAAACTAAAAAACTCTATATATAAATTAGTTTCAATAATTTACGTAATTTTTCCATTTTGCATTTGCAGCGTCGTCGAAAATGGCAAGGAAACTGTCTTTTCATATGAAAACGATGTCCTTAAATCAAAGACTGTGAATGGAGTATCCCAAAAGCTCTCTTCAATAGCGAATTAATTAAACAATTTATAAAAGTGGGCAACAAACACACTCTCACTCACACACACACACACACGTACAGAGACAATGATAACATGTTATTTAACATAAACAACAAGAAAAGAGATAAGAGAAGGATTCAATGCGAAGGAGTTCAGCAGCGGCGTGAAACTAACAACAAACAACATAAACAATAATAAACAAAAAGTCATAAGCTTAAAACAAAAAACCAACAACAAGAATATGAGGATGGACGAGTAGCAGCAGGAGTAGGGGAGGAAGAGGAAGAGGATTATGATGAACGCTTTCTTAATGCTTCGTTGAATAAACAAAAATATATTTAAAGAAATTGTTCTACATTAGAATTTAGTTATGTTTTAATGAAACCCGTTTGATTTGAAGAATGAAGCAGCAGCAGCAGCAGCAACGACAAACAAACAGACGGCAACAACACCAACAGCAGCAGAAGCAGCAGCAACAGGGCCAGCAACATCAACAACGAGAACAACAGAAGGAACAACAACAACTGGAAAATGGCAATTTATTTAAATTACTTAAAGGGATTTTTTGAAACAAAATATTTTGCGAGCACATTCGAATCGAAATTCTGAACAATAATTGCAAAATAAGCGAAGCAAAATTTATGTTATCACACAGTTTTGAACACAAGAGGACTGAAATATGAAAACATTATGTTTACAAAGAACCAAAAACAAAAACAAAAACAACAATATGCCCCAGCAGCAAAAACAAAAGCAAGTAAAATAAAACTACTGAAATGCAAAAAGATAAACGCTTTAAAGCAATTTAGTTGATAGGTTTTATTTTTTTTTAGTTTTGGGCGGGTTCAGTTGGATGGATGCTGTGTTATCTGTTTAATATGTAGCTATATACTACCGTTAGTCAATTAAGTTGCCACAATACTTACAACAACTATCAGCAGCGGCAGCAGCAGCAAAATGACCAATAAAATGCGATTGCGTTGCTTTTTTTGTACATTATACAACAAGAAATCCATAAATTAAATCTAAAAAAATATATATATATTCATAGTTGTAATATTAAATTAATGCAAACAAACAAAACAGAAAAAAAAAAACGAGAAAAAATGCAAAACAAATACATTTCTGACATTGAATGTTTATATTTAATAATTATTTAAACTTTTCTTTCATAGTCTGTAGTCGTTTTTTAAATGCTTAAGCTTAAGATTACTCTCACATAACCTAAAATGAGAACAAAACAAATTATAAATATATAAACAATGTATTGAACAGAATGAAACACAAAAACAAACAAACAACAAAACAGAAACAAACAACACTCAAAACACTAATCGTAATCGCACACAATTTAATACTGTGTTTTTAGTAGATCATTCTCAGCTAAAACAAAAATAAATTGGAAAAAAAGTAAACAAAAAAAATACAAATATAAAAACAAATGCGATAAATGAAACTTAAAATGCTTTTCACTTTGAATTTGGAGAATAGCGCGCAATGTAGTTGCCAGCGTTGCCACTTGTTGAGGCTCTTGATCAGTTACGCTCGCTCGATAGCTGCCAGCTGACGATCACGATAACCTGTTGCTTTGCCGATTGTTTTGTTGTGTGCAACACTGCGCCATAGCAGACTTGCTGATAATTATTTTTTTATTAAGTTTATTTTTATAATTTAAACAGTAGTACAAAACATTGCATGGACTTTAAATGGCAGCATACCCACGTGATGATCAAATGAAATGGTACCACGGCCGCTTAACACGCGAGGCCGCCGACGATTTGCTAAAACAAGGTGCGTATCAGAAAAATAGATATGTCTGCGTCTATAGAAGACTCGCCCAGATAGTAAGAAAATTCAATTTGTTTATTTTATTAATTGTCATAGGTTACGAGGATGGCACATTTCTGGTGCGGGAGAGTAGCACCGCAGCTGGCGATTTCGTATTGAGTCTGCTCTATCAGGTAAATGACGCACATCAACAGACGGTCGTAAAATAATTGAGATTGCCCGACTAAAAGATACGCTGTGTGGATAAGGAGTGTACAAAATATTGTTTAAAAAAATGTTTAGGATAAATAGCTGGGTTTACTGTGACTTATATTAATTCAGAGGGCTACACAGAAGCATTGATATTTAAAGATTTGGCAAATGAGTCAATATTGCCACCTGTTTTGTGTACAGGGTACAACAACAGGTTGTCTTTATTATGTGAATAATTTATTGCATTTTTGTTGCAGGGCGAGGTCTGCCACTATCAAATCCGACGTCATGGCGAGGACGCCTTCTTCTCTATCGATGACAAGGGGCAAACTAAGATATTACATGGCTTGGAAACTTTAGTGAAATACTATCAGCAGGAGCCAAATGGATTGATTACTAAGCTATCGCAGCCACTCACGGGCGATCCACCGCCACCTAATACTCGAAGCCAGGGCGTGACAAATCTGCTGCATCGCGCCACCAGCAAGAATGAGAGCAAGGTGGTCTTTGAACTCTTGAAGTGTGGCAATCGCAACTTCGATGCAAAGAATAAGGATGGCCAGACAGCACTACATTTGGCTGCAATTAATTGCAATGAGGATATACTGAAGTTGCTGCTCGATGCGCGCGTCCAAGTGAATAGCTCCGATTCGTTTGGCTGGCAGCCTTTGCATGTAAGTTCAGAGTTGTAGTCCCAATAAAGTGGCTAACCTATTGTGCACCCTTGTAGTACGCCTGCCGAAAGAAAGATGCCAGCTTTATACGCACGCTGATTGCTGCTCAGGCGAACGTGCAGAGCAGGAACATTGAGAACGGCCATGTGCCGCTGCATGAGGCAGCCAAGCATGGCAATTTGGAAGCGGTGCAGGAGCTACTGTCTGCGCACGCTCCATTGCTGCCACGGACCAGCGCCGGTGAGTTTCCCTTCGATCTGGCCAAGGAGGCGCAACAGACGGCTGTTGAGCAATTTCTGCTCAACTATAAGATGCTTCCCGCCAACACGAGTCGGGAGATGTGGTACCATGGTACTTTGAAGCGAGACGAGGCGGTGGCCATACTCAAAAACTATGCCCAAAAACAAGTGCAAGAGAAGCAGCCAACCTCGGAACAGCCTGCGGACATGTCCGGCTACTTTCTAGTGCGTTACTCTGAATCGCCAGCAGCGTCGGGCTATGTATTGACGCTGCTCGGCGATCAAGTGGTCAAAAACTTTCTCATCTCTCAAGCGGATCTCTATCAGAACGGCACCAAGCTAACTTCCAGTGGGGTATGAAAATAGATTTACTATATCCCTAAAAATATGTTGAACTTTACATTTATTTGACAGTCGAAATATCTGTATATAGACGATGGTCCCTATTGGCCAAGCTTGGAGCATTTGGTGGCGCATTATATGCGATTCTCTTACGGGCTGCCCGTCAGTCTAAAGTATCCCGTGCCGCCACAGCCCAAACCGGAGCTGCCATCATTTGCTACTATACCACGTCCCACACATAAGCCACGCGATCACCCACCAACCAGTCCCCATCCTGGCAGTTCTAAGCACCAGCCTGTCCTGACCATAACAAAGAAAAAGCAGAAAGAAAACAGCAGCTCGATGTTCAATACGCTGCGCATTGTGAGTCCCAAGAAGAGTCTCTTTGACATGAACAGTTTGCGCAAGAGCAAAACGAAGAATAAGCGCAGCGATTCGGAGAGTAGCGTTAGCCTGGTCGCTGCAGCCAACGAGGAACTGCAGGCGGCAGCGCCCATGCTAAAGAATCTCTCCTTTTCAACAGACTTCAGCAATTTCAATGTGGATGCGGGGGAACTGTACAATGTGCCACGCAACAATACGCCCATCGAGCTGCCACCCATTGCCAACAAGACTGAAGACGAGGTGGAATACTTCACCAAGAGCGATGTGGCCATTGAGAAGGAACGTCTTGCACTTACCACCAATGGATATTTGCCTACCACAGATGTGCATATGCTGCTGGAAAAGGAGCTCAAGCAATTTGATGGCAAACAGGTGTTACGCTTGGACTCCATAATATCCACTGGCTCTACGGAGAGCGAAATGGCTAGCTATTTGCAGCGCAAATGTAGCGGAGCCGGGTCTGGAACAATTGGATTAAGCAGCAGCGAGATAGAAGCAGCCAAGCAGCGTTTCTTGATACATCCAGATCAACTGAAGCTAGACACCGAAATCGGAGCTGGTGAATTCGGCTCCGTTTACAGGGGTTGCCTGCGACAAGCCAATGGTCATTTGTTGAAAGTGGCAATCAAGACACTTCGCGATGAGGAGCAGCAGATGATCAATAAGCAAGAGTTTCTTCGGGAAGCATCTGTGATGATGCGACTGGAGCACAAGTGCATTGTGCGTCTAATTGGCATCTCTAAGGGCGATATGCTGATGATGGTTCAAGAGCTTGCGCCACTGGGCTCCATGCTACAGTATATACTGGATCACAGTACCGAGCTGAAGGTCAACTACGAGCTGAAGCTGTGGGCCTCGCAAATTGCCTGCGGTAAGTGGGTTCCACAAATTTCCTAATGTCATTTTACTGATTGATTTGATTTGATTTGATCGGACAGGTATGCATTATCTGGAAACGCAGCATTTTGTGCACCGCGATTTGGCCGCAAGGAACATATTACTGACGTCTACGCAACAGGCTAAGATTAGTGACTTTGGCATGTCGCGCTCTTTAAGCGCGGGCAGCGATGAATATCATTTCACGCAAGGAGGGCGCTGGCCCATTCGCTGGTATGCGCCGGAGAGCTTCAACAATGGCATCTTTTCGCATGCGAGCGATGTTTGGTCCTTTGGGGTCACATTGTGGGAGATGTTTGCCTTGGGCGCACCGCCGTACGGCGACATATCCAATGTGGATGCCATTAAGCTGGTGGACAGCGGACAACGTTTACCACAGCCAAATGTCTGTCCGGCTTACATTTATGCGGTAATGCAAAGCTGCTGGAACTATCATCCCAGAGAGCGGCCCACTTTTGCCTATCTCATGGAGTTCTTCAGTCGTGATCCTGAGTATCAGAATCTTCCAGAGCTGGTCCAGTCGGTGCATATCTAGATAGGCAGCTGCTCTGCTCATCATTCAATTTTCTTTAACGAGTGCAATTTCTTTTACACCTACTCTATGTATTCATCTATCTAACGTATTATTTTGTTTTGAGCTCGCATCTTTCCAAACATATCCTGGCCGATATACTACGAGCTTCTTCTATATATAAACCTGTATAACTACTTGTACCATATAACTATATATACACATATATATGTATATAAATGTATTTTACATATTTGTAAACAATTTGTGTCAAATAGCGAACAAGTGCCTTACATTTTATTATAACAATTAACAATTATGCAATTAAATGTTTTTATACAAACATTTGTATTTATGATTTCCAAATGGTTTTGGTTTAATGTATGCAGCATAAATGTTTACGACATTCATTGACTTCCAGCCTGAAATTATGTTATAGTTTAAATTAAAACATTTTAAATGAATTTCAGTGACCGCCCAAAAATAAGCTCTGCTTTTTATTTCTTATACTCATTTTTACCAAATCTATATCTTAAATACATAAGTTCAACTTCTCAAGATCATCATTATGATCCGTACAATTACATCAATTATTTTAGATGGCAGCCCGAAAGTATATACTATATTTTCATGAAATACATTTCATTTAGCGCATTTATTGCAAATTGATAAAAAATATAGAAATTGTTAATTTTGTCTTATATGCTAAGTTAGTTCAGGTATTTAGATCAGTTATAAAGATCATATAATGTATATAAAGCAAAGTTGCAACTTTATAAAAAGGACAAAAAGAAAGGCATCAAGTGTATGCGATCTGCTAGCAAAACAAATATCAAATTGAGCCGTTCATCGCCTGTTGCACATTCGAGGTGGAGACCAACTTGAGCGCGTCCATGATGCCATTCAAGTTGTGCTCATTGTATGCCTGGCCCTGGAGAGGAGTGACCACTGGCACCAGTTGTTCGCTTTGCGGGAGCTGTAAGGCGATTTTAGTCATCAGACCCTGCAAGAAAAGCAAAAATTATGCATTAGTGACTTGAAACGCAAGGAGGGATATGCAAATAATGTCTTACAGCTTCCACTTCGACGTTCAGCTTGAGCTTCATGCCACTCTCATTGCCCTTCAGTTCGAGATCCTTTTCGACCGTAAACTTCGGCGTCTTGCCAATGACCCAATCCCAGGAGCTGAAGTTGGTGCGCAGCTCCTCGATGCCGGGGAACCATTTCTCCGTGGGATTGATTAGCTGAAAGCCACGCTGATTCATTGTTTGCGTGCTACCGCCATCTTTCAACGACGTTGCTGACGTGCGCAAGTACTCATAGCCCACGGCAGAGAGCAGCTGCTGCACATTAACATTCCGATTGACATCCGCCAGGTTGCGTATGGCCGATGGCACCGATGCCGTGGCACGACTAATATAATTGGCCTTCTCCTTGACCAGCGACTCACTCAGATGCAACTTGTTGGCCGTGGCCAAAATGGTGCAATGATGATAAGCATTGGGGCGACCCAACTTAGCAGCCGTGCCCGATATCTGAAACATAATAAATCATTTTAATAGATGCAAATTAATTTCAAAAAGATAAGCTTCAAATTGAAAAGAATTGATAAGAAAAACGTTTTCTACTGTCTGGCGTGTATTGAATTCCCTTGCAGATTGAGGCTGATGGATTGTAACTATAGCAACTATATAATTTATATATATATATATACATATATATACATATATACATAATGATCAATCAGATGTTACTGATCTATCAAGCAACAACAAAATCAGAAATTTCCAGTGGTTTCTATGTATAGGCTATATACTAGTTCTAACTGGACAGTTCTGGCTACGAGGGTAGGTTGAAGAGTTTGCGATTACCCACATTTAGTAGAAAATAATTTTGTTAAACTCTTAATAATGATTATAAAAATAAATTTAATTAATTAACTTAATCGTTAAATTAATAAAAAATCAAATCACTTTTTTATCTTCGTAGTGCCTTCAGCAAAAAAAACACCAAAAAAAAGCATGGCTACATAAAATCAAAAAACTAATTTGATATATAAATATATATAAATTTGGACACGACTGTCGATGTGAATACGAAGCATACATATTTGACTTTCTGCAAGTCTGCTGCAAGGGTAAAGAAGAACAAAAAACTGCTGAACTTTTCATTTTGTATGGAAAATTTGCAAAATTGTTTTGATGGCTTCTCTGGCGTCAAGCTGAAGGCTATTCTAAGCCGGTTTGAACTGTAGGCCAGGCCTGGCCAGATGCTTGTTTGTCAACTGAGCTGATAAGCGCGAGAGCTACGTAGATACGTAGATTTGGCCACATGTCTAACCTTTTTGTTGGCGATAACAATATCATCGCGATCGTTGATCTCCGCCTTGATGGCCCACTCGCGGAACAGCGAGCGCGTCACAATGTTCAGATTGTACTTGCGATCGTAACGCTCGCGGGGTGTAAAGAACGTGCAGTTGAGATTGCCCGGATCATGATAGACGGCACCGCCACCGCTGTTGCGACGGGCGAGAGTAATGCCTCGTTCCATTAGCTTGGATACATTCGCCTCGGTAAAGGGATTCTGATGGCGGCCAATGACAACGCACGGCTGATTGGCCCACAGCAGCAAGACATGATGATGGCTAAAGTCAAAGTTCTTATAGAGCCAATCCTCGAGAGCTAGATTCGTGTAAATGTCATTAGATTGCGAGATGAAAACCGATTTCTTGATATCAGCGTCGGCCACAGCGGCGAGCCTTTTGCCAGCTGACGAAGTTTTTGTTGTCGATGCAGTTGCAGTCGTTGTCGTTGGCGTGGTTGTTGTAGTAGTTGTAGATGCAGTAGTATTGTTATCTGAGGCCAGACGCGTGATTTCGGTTGACGTTGCGCAAAGGCGCTGCAGCAAGCGCAGCTGGCTCGAATTACGACGCAGTAATATGCTCATTTTAAATATTTAATTTAACAATCAGGCACAAAATGGGAACAGCTGTTACTTTTTTCTTATTGTGCTCGTCTTCTGTTATTTTTATTGCACAACTCGGTGCAGCGCTTTTACTGTTGTTGCTGTTGCCGTCGCTCTTCTTACAAGGAAGCTTATTGGCTCTGTTGCTATGTCGCTCTCACTCTCTCTCGCGCTCTGTCTCTTTTGCAGTCAACGGACAGACAACGGCAATGCACTTGCTTACTATTTGCGTTCGTTGTTACAAAAACAAGGTCATCGGCAGAGTCAGTCGCTAATTGATATGTTGTTTTTTTTTTTGGTCACTTTTTAACTGCCGCGGTGCTGCTTCTTTTTGTTAGGTTAGATTGAATTTAAAAGTCTATATGCTTGTCTATTATGCCTAGGTGTGTGCGTATTAATTATTATCTGTAGCGGTTCTATTTTAGCTTATTTTTTTCTTTGTTACTTTTTTTTTGTTGTTCAGCACGCTGCTTGTCGTATTTCTCCTTTTGGTTTATTGCTTTTTATATATTTTTTGCTGTTGTTTTTGGCCGATTGTTATTTTGGACTTTAGAGCGCGCTGGTTGGGATTTGAGTATCTGCTGCCACAGAGCTAGCGGAGATGAGGTATTCGTGCAGGGCGGGCGTCTGATGGAGCCACTTCCAGGTTTGATGCAGTCCGCAGACACGCTTACGTAGACCCAAACAGTCCTTGTTGCTGCACCAGTTCACTTGCATACTACGCTTTACACCCATCCAAGAAAGATCGGTCTAAACGGTCGACAGGAATTTAGGCCAGCCTCTGGCCAATCAATAAGCACACACTTTTGCTACGCAATAAGCCAAACAATATACAAAATTTATAACAAATCGGTTGATACCGCCTTGAAAATGTATATTGAAAATTTTCCACTCGAATGTTTGTGCTGTGCGGGGGATGGAGCGAACGCAAGCGGTATAACACAAAACAAACACTGACACACAGACTTTTTAGTCAACGGTAAATGTTGTACGTAGCAATCACGTCTGATTCACTTTGGCGCAAGATAAGCACTGAAAACCCTATTGGAATGGCAATTCCGAGCACTATGCATAACAGCTGCCCAGCTAACAGAGATACTCCTCACTTAACAGTAAGCTTTTCAAAACGCTATCTTAGCATATACTGTTTAAATGTTCATATTAACGTAGAATTTGGAAACACATTAGGAAATTCTCGTAATTTAATTAACTTTACCGAAATTTATACAAAACATATGATGGCTAGGTTTGCTTGTGAATGCTCTTGAATGTTAAAACAGCTGTCAATCACATAATCAATACAACGTGATGCGTTCACAATGCATTCACTATTAAAATTTTTTTTATTTTAAGCAGCCAGTCGAGAATCATTTTAATTGGGTATTCCGCCATTGTTAATGTACTCTGCCTCCAGTGGGTCGATTGGCTTGCGGGCGAAGCGCGAAGGCAGCTCCCAGTCCTCAATTGCAGGTCCCCCAGTAGTCTGTTGAATTGTTAATCACAAATTAGGAACTGAGCATAGTGTTTTATTAAAATGGGCATCGTCTGATGTTGTTAATGGCTATAAAGTTAACCTTTTTGCCTCCGGAATCCTTTGAACTTGCCTGTTGACTTGCAGCTGGCTTGTTAGCCAATGCTTGACCTCCCTTACGGAAGTGGATGAGTGGTACCCGTTTCGTCAGATAGACTATATTTAAGCGCACCATTTTTAAATTAAAATTATTTAAAATCTGATTTGCTTAATATTAATAGTAATGTGCCGAACGAGAGTTACGTCAAAACAGCTGAGTGTAAATCCTAAACAAGGCTGCCACACCGTTTATGGCAGTCATTCACACAGAGCGCCGCCAAGTGAAACAGTGCCACTCACAGGTCTGCAGCGCAGAAAAACAAAGTTTTGTTTGTATTTGATAATTGTGTAAAAAGTTGTGTGAAAATTATCTTCAAGCTGGCCAGCGCAATGAACGTCGCAGCTGGCGGCATCAGCACAACTGCAAGCAGCGCCCCAAATAACAATGCATTGCCCATGGCTCAACTAGCCGATGGTTGGCTAGAACTAGAATCAGATCCGGGTCTTTTTACGCTGCTCTTAGAAGATTTTGGCTGTAAGTTAATATATTTGCAAGGTATATTACATTATACATATTTCTTGTAGGTCACGACGTACAAGTGGAAGAGGTGTATGACCTGCAAAAGCCTATAGAAAGTCCTTACGGCTTCATTTTTCTCTTTCGCTGGATCGAAGAGCGTCGAGCACGTCGCAAAATTGTAGAGACAACTGCCGAAATATTTGTCAAGGATGAGGAAGCTATTTCAAGCATCTTCTTTGCCCAGCAGGTGGTGCCCAATAGCTGTGCTACCCATGCTTTGCTCTCCGTGCTGCTTAATTGCAATGAAAACAATCTGCAGCTCGGCGAAACGTTAAGTCGCCTGAAGGCCCATACTAAGGGTATGAGCCCGGAGAACAAGGGTCTAGCCATTGGCAATACACCAGAGCTGGCTTGTGCCCACAACTCGCACGCCATGCCGCAAGCGCGTCGTCGTCTGGAACGCACTGGAGCTGGTGTCGCCAGTTGTCGATTTACAGGGGAAGCATTTCATTTTGTTAGCTTTGTTCCCATTAACGGGCAGCTGTTCGAGTTGGATGGACTGAAGCCATACCCAATGAATCATGGCTGCTGGGAAGACCATGAAGATTGGACGGACAAGTTTCGTCGCGTGATGGCTGAACGGTTGGGCATCGCGACCGGTGAGCAAGACATTCGTTTTAATTTGATGGCCGTGGTGCCCGATCGTCGAATCGCCATCACACACAAGTTAAAGATGTTGCGCACCAATCAAGCCATTGTGTCTGGCACACTGCAGAAGCTGCTCAAAGCGGATGAGCAGGGCGAGCGCGACGATCAACAGCGTCCGGATACACCCAACACGCTGCTAGAGCCAAGTGCCTTTACAGCACGTGATTTGCAATCACTGCTCAAGAATCTAGATACAGAAATCGCCATCAATGAGCAGCACTTAGCCGATGAGAACGATCGTCGGCAAATGTTCAAAGTGGACGCCAGTCGTCGCACCCACAACTATGACAAATTCATCTGCACTTTTCTTTCCATGCTGGCCCACCAAGGTGTGCTCGGTGAACTGGTCAGCCAACATCTGTTGCCCACCAAGAAGATAAGTGGACAGAGCGCTGCAAATCGACTCAGCAAACAGAGCAGCGCCGCAGCAGCTTCTAATACGGCGAACAGCAATGCAAATGCCGCCGGTGGAGGCGCCAAATCCCAGCCGCAGCAGCAGCAGCAACAGCAACAACAGCAGCCACAACAACCGCAGACGGCAAAGAATGGAAAGTCACCTGGAAAGACGCCGGGACGCAGACGCAAGGGACGAAACAAGTGCAGAAAGCGCAAGTGATGTGCATTAGGATAGACTAAACTAATCTTACGCTATATATATATATATATCTATATTATATAATTTTATATATCATTCACTAAAATTGTCTAAATTAGTACTATAAATATATTTCATTATATATTGAGTGAAATCTCGCACAGTTCCATTAAAACTCTATGACCGAGATTGATGTCCGAGTCATAATAGCATATAATTTCTATTGTAGCTATACTAATTTGTATCAATTTATTATGATTTACCTTTTAAAAAGCTATTTAAATTGTTTAATTATAAATGCAAACAATATTAGCTGGTAAATTTAATTTCAACTTCATTCTTTCAGTCACTTGTTTTCCTCTCTTCAATAATAAATATTTATATCAATTTCCAAAAATTACATTTTTATCAATATTGAAAATATATATATATTACAATATATTTCAAAACCATTTAACTGGCAGACTTTGAAAGCTGTCTTTCAAAGGAGATTTCACTGCATGTAACTATATACACCTAATTTAACTAGCTTTTAAGTATGATAATTATTTAAACCTCAATTGCGGAAGTGCTGTATGTACTTTTATGTTTTGGTTTTATTTGATCTTTTTTTGTAATAAAAAACATTTTTGTTCATGTAATTAAATGTTCCAAGTACGAAAATGTACGTGTGTGTATGTGTGACATATGTATGTATATATATATTTCTATATATCTATATGGTAATTGTATAACAGAAAAAGAACCATTTCCATATGCTTTCACGTATTCCGTATACTTCGGCGCAAACTTAAATTATGTATATATTTGTTGCTCAACAAAACAAAAACAATGCACACTAACTATATATATATATATATAGCTTTATATATATATCATTATGTTTTCATGTGTATTATGCTTTTATAAACTATAAAAATAAGGCAAATGTTTAACAAAAAAGATGTTCTATAAAGCTGGTGATGATTAGGAGGATGCTTGGTAGAGTGCTTTATAGTTTTTGTTTTTCTGATTGATAGACTAAAGCTAAAATGTTTTTCAAGCCTTTTATCTGCTAAGGATATGGCCGTATATGGTTTATATATATATATGTATAGTTAAATTTAACTTTGCATATGTGAGCAGTACAAGAGCAGCCTTTAGGAAACAAACATAAATAATTATGCTTTATTTTATTATGTTGTTGATTTTGTATACTACTTTTTTCCTCTTTTTAGATTTGTTTTTTCTTTTTTTGTAAGATTATCCACTTAGGTTGTTGTTTGGAAGTAAAAACACTTTGTTGTTGCGAATTTTGCTCAGTCCACGAAATAAAATGAAACGTTGACAAACTAACATGTTGGACAACAGAGTTGATAATTTTGTGACTTTTATGTTAACTGTGTGTTTCTGTTTTTGGTGTGTGTTGTTTTTATTTATGTGAATTGTGAAGGCTCGTTGTTTGCATTCATAGCTGCCGCGTTTGATCTGCCTGCATTCAACTTGAAACCGTCGTAGTTAACTCTTCGCTTCCATTTGTTAGCTGCGCGGCTGTGGGTGCACCTGCTTCTGAAACATCTTTCGGCTGTTCAGTCTCATTGTAGTTGATAGCAGCCACAAACGTTTTGAGTGCCGCTGTTACCTCATTGTCATCGGTTGCGTCACTCTCGTCGCTGTTCGTCTTCAAATGCTTTTCAATCTGGCTACGCACCTTCACAATATCCTTTTGGCTGTCGATTGAACAATAAATAACAATTTTAAGCACAAACTAATTGAAGTATATTTAACTGATGACCCACCTGATATGCACAAAGAGTATACCATTGATAGTGTTAAGCATTTCCAGTACAGAGCCCATTGACGGCGGCGTTATGTGTATGGGTGGCAAATCGCTGGTCAACTTGCCATTGGAGTAGATGTCGTTCATCTTCCGCTGCAGCGCAACAGCCTCGTGTGTCAATAGACGCAAGCACTCAGCCGATTCGCGCGTTTTGTCATGCTTCTCACCAAGCTACAGGTAGGAAAATCAAGAGTTAATTAGACTGACCATTGGAACACCTCACATCAATGAACATGCCTGTGATTTGTAAATGGAGTAGGTTTCCTTTTCGTTGTTCAACGCTGAGCGAAAATCGCCCATGCAGGATTGAATACGGGCCATTAGGTGATAGCTGACGGCCACGTGCATTGCTTTATTGCCAAAGTACTTCAGATTCAGCTTGAGAGCATGCTCAATGAAACGCAAAGAGAGCTCATATTCACCCAGAGCGTGCAGGATCAAACTTATGTTGCTCTGTGTGGATAAAGCAATAAACAATAATTAAATCTAAACCGTGGTCTCCATTGAGATTGCCTACTCACATCGATCAGCGCCACCTCGGGATGATCCTCGCCGCAGATAAGAACCAGCAGATAGCGAGCGCGATAAAGCAGCTTCAACGACATACCCACATGACCATTGGCAAACGAGTACAGCGACAAATGTGTCTAGAAATAGAGGAAAAAAGAAATGAAGTAAATATATATATACCTTGATGGCAAATCGGTCTTACGTATTCCAGTATGGTTGATGGGTGATCAATGCCATTGACGCGCTCGCTCATGATAACAGCACGTTGCTGTATGGCCAGAGCGTCCTGGGCATCGCCTAGCAGATAACTAAGCCGTGCCAGCATGCGGAGACAGGAGCCATTCTCTACATGCATAGCTCCGAAAACATTGTTCAGCAAATTGAGAGCCTCGCTAATCAATTCGTATCCCTCCTTAAGCATACCCTGTTGGCTCTTTGCTTGTCCCGTCGTATAGAAATTGTAGGCATCTGAGGCCCTAGGACTGATGTGCTTGACCACCGGGAACACATTGACAATATCGTCATCGCCAAAGGTGGGCTTGTGCTTCGACTCGAAGTTGTATTCACGCAATAGCACCTGGATGCCCACCTTCAAGCAGAAGGCACGTAACAGACTGATGCGCAACAGTCCATACTTTGCGCTAGCACTCTCAATAGAATCGCAGTCCAGCTCCCAGTTCCAATATGCTTTCACCTCCTTTCGTATTTGCTGCCATAGGGAACGTGGTGTGACCAACGTCCAGTCGTAGCTGCTGTTGCTGGATGCATTGTTGGATGCTGCATTGGTCGAAACATTGGCAGTTGAGGAGCTATGGCCATTCTGTGTGGCGGCCGCCGCCGAAGCTGATTGGGGCTTAGTTGTCTTGTTTGTTTTGTTGTGTTTATTGTGCTTGCCACCGTTGTTGCGCGACTGCTTCTTGTGCACGTCTTCGCTGCTGACGGCGGGATTCACAGGTCCAGTGGTCAACAGGCAATTAAGAAAATGGCTAATTGCCGCCGAGAGATGCAGGGGCTCGGTGCTTTGCATATAGGTGTAGTAGATGTGCTTGGTGGCACGCACAATCAGCTCGAGTATGGCAATACGATGCAAATAGTCCATGCGCGGCATTTGGCCGAGCATTTTGACCACCTTGCCCAGATAGCGGACGTTGATCCCATGGCTGTGCAGAGATTCAGTGAGACTCTGGCCATCGATAGGCGGCGAGGAGTGTGCCATATGCTCCTTGATAAAGGCGGGTATTTGCTTGAGTACCAAAAATTCGGCTGCATCCTGAACGAGACGTTTTTGCTTAGCCAGCGATTGAATGCCACCTTCGGGGCCATCGACGTGGCGTATGCCTGGCGAGAAAACATCCGGATTGAAGCGGAAATCAAACTCTTTCTCCTTGAGCGAACCCACAGCGGCGCATGCCCGTTTTACGACCTCCGCAGCTTGCACCTCATTTGAGACAGCCACATTTGATTGCGCTTCACGTATGGCATTGACCATGGCCTCAGCGCTCTTCGTCTCACTGGGACTGGGCTTGGATTCTTTCTGCTCGTCTTCCTTATCATTTTCCTTCTCCTCTTCCTTCTCCTTTTCTGTCTGCTTTTCCTTTTCTGTTTGCTCTTTCTCTGGCTCCTCTTGTTTTTCAACTATGGAGGGCAGTTCTTTCTCAGCCTGCTTTTTGGCATTCAACTGTTGCAGATGCACTGCAGCAATGCGTATAAAGGTCACATAACGATCCTCAATGAACGCCTCAAGCAGCTCCTGTCGTAAACAGCACAGTTTATGGCGGTGCTCAATGGGAAAGCCCATATCGATGAGTTCCTTTCCCAGCTGTACATCTTCAAGCTTAAGGAAGTTTACATCTGGCGGGAACGTGCGCAACAGATCGAGTATATAGTGTCGACCATCGTTGCCAATGATGCCCTTGCACTCAACAGAGGAGCACAGCTCCACTGGCTCATCGCGTTCATTCAGAACCGAATGAGGCAAGATCTTCAAACGCTTGCCCGCGAGACGGAGCAACTCCAAATACTTAGGATGACTGAGCACCGTTTTTCCAAAGTCAATGGATCCATAGACAACTGATTGCTCCTGCTCACGCTCCAATATACCAGGTATAATGGATTGGGCGGTCACACGATAACCACGATAGTCAATGACAACTGTACCCAGGGTATATAGACCCTCGATATCCACAGCATTATAGACACGTACGCCATGCAGATCATAGCGGGGCGCCACAAATGCAGCATGATCACCACCCAGCTCCTTGTAATGGTCGCGCACATCGAATCCCAGCGAAAAGAATATATTATTCCAAATGAACATTTGCATTTTGGCATCTTCTCCGGGATTAATGGCCAACACATTGCCATCAATTACAGCCATGGCTCCACGAGTCGCAGCCGTAACAAAATCTCCGTGCACCTTAAAGATTGCACGCTCGCGCAGCAAGCGCTCTGGCAGTGTCTTGCGTGGCAGTTCCCGGGTTGTCTGCAGCTCCTCGTTCCAGTCGCGCGTCTGACCGGGTATATGCTCCTCGTACCTAAAGACAGTATAATTGAATATATAATCGATTTATTGGCTAAAGCTTCTCTGTAGACTCACCCCAGTTTAGAGCTAAAGGCATCTTCGGCACGTATGGCATCAACGGTGTGCTCCAATTGTGGCGCTGCCCATTGATACACTTGATAGGGCGTCGCCACACGTTCAAAGGCATGTCGCATCGTGCGTCGCTTTTGTATGGTTTGAAAAGCGCGGCGGAACGACGGCGAAATGTGCGATAATAGATCTATGAGCGAATGACTCAAATGGCTAGGATTATCCGGTTTAGGATTGAAGCATTCGTCTGTGGACTGATTAATATAAAAGCCCTTGGAGCAGGCTGAGATGTGAAAGCGCTTATCTTCCATGGTAACCACATATAAATACATCAGATCACCATGTAGTTTACGGGGCCCAGGTGGTGGATTCCATGCCGATGTGGTCAACACTTTCAGTGCCTGTGGTCCCTTTGCATTCTTAATATTTGGATGCAATGGCAATAGCGGCGGTTCACGAACGCCGGGCGTCACATAATCGGGCGGCGTGCAGTCGACGGAGTCGGGACGTGTTCGCTTTTTGTCCAACAGATCGCCTTGTGTGATGGTATTTAAATATGTTAAGGAGGTGCAGTCGATGCCATTGTATGCATCGGCCGGATCAAGATTTTTGAGGAGGTCTCGTACATGGCGCACATGAATGCGTGCTTCGCGCATTGTGTACGGCTCTTCGACGACACGAATGGTGGATCCCTGCTCCAGAGGTTCGATAGTTTTTAGTTCAGCAAAATTATCCAAAGTTACGTTGTCCAACTGAAGCGAGAAGCATGTTCTGTGGCATGTCTCTTCACGATCCATTAACAGCTGGTGGATTTCCTGCACCAGCTCCATGCTCGACAGCTGCACGGACAGCACATCCGTGCCGGGGCTGCTGATGTTCACTGTTATGCCAATGTCATGCAAAGCATCGAGATCAACATCTTCGCCAGATGCAGCCGCTTCGCCCTCGCCAGTAGCTCCACCGTCACCTGATGATCCAACCTCAGCTGCTTCTGTGGCTGTTGCTCCCTCTTCGTCAACTTTCTTTTCCAGCATATTTGCATTGGCATCGGCGGTATCTCCGTTAACTGACGCCTTCTCGGCATGCCCATTGCTGAGAGCTTCAGATGCATCAATTGCATCTTGTTGAGGCGGGGTTTTGTTACGATTTTTCTTGCCTGCATTTGAAAACACAAATACGAGAATTGTTATTCAAATTGTGGTCAAGGGTGGAATAAAATGAACAAACATTCCTGAATTCTTTATGAGGGTTTCTCACCGAGAACAGTTCTTGAGCTAGTTACATGCTAATAAAATACGTTTACCACCTTATTGTTATTGTTTAATGTGGTATAAATTTTGTTATTGTAATTAATAACAAAAATTACAAAAGAGTCTCTAATTCAAATTCTATGCAGATGAGCTGCGAACTGGTTCTGATGGCGTTTAAGTACGGTGAAGTTCCAGTTCACAATCCCATGAGATGATAAAATATATGGATGTGACGTGCTATTGTATATTGATATAGATAATTTGCTTTAAATATGTAAATAATTTTAAATACTATTGTGAGTTAATAATATTGTAAGCAAGTTGTGTCGTAGAGATTCAGTGAACCAGTAAGTTCAGTAATTTGCTAATCAAAACGACCTGACCTCACCTACATTTTGGCTCACTTGTTACATAAGTGTTCAGCGAGCATTTACTTTTGCCATTCACTGTAGCCGGCGCAAGCACATACACATGGCGTATGTTACGCACACACACACTTAAACAGTCATGTTTCGTTTGCTGTAAAACAAAAAAGAGAAAAGCAAACAAACCGCGTCACGGCAATAGCTGATAAGACAGAGCTGCAAGAGTGCAGCCGTTAAATTTAACTAAAACCTCAATTCAATAATCGGGCATCTTTTTTTTCACAGAGCCATGTTAATTTCAACAGCACAGTTAAAAATTACAACGAAACCTAATTTCATAAACAAATCTAGAAATGCAGAGCAAATGTTGAGATATTACCAGAGAGAGAGGGAGAGAGAAACTTATGCTGGAATCCGTTTGTTCTAGAGGTATTTCAAAGAAGTAGAAAAACATGATTTACATAATTAACATGGTGATATATTGTTTATGGGAGTGTATGGGCGAGCAAGTTTTGTTTGTTGCATGCGAAATTAAATGCGTTAAGCAAGCACGTGGTAATTGTAGGTTAAAGAAACATTTAATTCGCCGCCGCAGGGGGTTAATGAACATAGGAGCAACGACACATAAACATGTGTATGTATGCGCGTTGCCATATTTAAGAAAACGCATGAGCACTAATACTCGCACGCACAGCGATGTACACAGTACGTAACTCCCACTTATACAAATGCAATTGAAACGCACGCGGTGAAGGCAACGACAATAGCGCCCAGCAATAGACGGGCAGACCGCATTTAAAGCATTATAGAAAAAAATACATTACGTAACGTAAAAATGTTATGTGATGGACTTTTTCTCGCAAATATCGCATTAAACAGTTATCATTGCCATTTACTGGTTATATTAGCACATATAAAAGTGAAAATGAAAAGTAGGGTATGGGTAGAGGTAGGGGTGTTGGATGCTTTGATCGAAAATGTCATAGTTAACGCACCTTTCTTCTTCGTAGCGGCGCTGTTGCCATTGACCAAGTTCTTTTCGCCGGCAGCGAGTGCATTATTGTTGTTGCTGTTGCTCTTATTCTCCTTGGCTTTGGCCTTGCCAGGGGCACCAGCGTCACCAGTCGTAGCCGCCGCCGCATTTTTTGCATCAATCTCGAGCGCCATGCTGCGTATGTTTCTGTTTTAGCGCACAAAAACCCAAATCCAAATTATATTACACGTTCACGCTGCCGTGTTACACAACTCTACACTGCTCTGGCGACTGCTGATTGCTTGCTCTTGCTCTTGCTTTCTGCTTTGTTCTGCTCACTGCGTTCAAACCGATTGCGCGTATGTGATTTTGATTTTTAACTAGAATATCTAATATAAACGATGATTTATTGTCCGGGTGGCTATTTGTAAACATATGACAATTATATCTTTGGCTACGTTAGCATTAACACACTGTATTGAGCTACGATTTTTAGTCGTTAATTTATAAATTAACGCGTTGTTTTTCAGCTGGAACCTGTCAGTGTGACCGAGCCAAGCAACTGATAAAAATAGATTTTATTTAGCGATAATAAAAGACGGTATTTTTGGTATTCTCAATGACCATTCACCATTCAACGTCAACACGAGAATAGCAGGAAAAAAACTGTATTTCGCTTGTCAACAAATATGTCGCTGATTAAAAATTTAGTTAAAGAAACAGAAGAAAACAAGCCTCGAAAGAAGAAAAAGAATGGGGACTCCGAAGACAGCGATAATGAAGGAAAACACAAACCATTGGGACCATTCATAAAAAGTGCTACAGATCTACAAAGATTGAAGTTGGAAAAACTAATGAAAAATCCAGTACGTTTCATTTTCACTTAAGTGTAAACACTAACTAATCGAACATATATTGACAGGAAAAGCCAGTTATTATACCGGAGCAGAGGCGGGAGCGTGACTATATGTCTTCAGTTCCCACATTTGTGCGTAATGTGATGGGCAGCAGTGCTGGTGCGGGCTCCGGTGAATTCCACGTCTACCGCCATCTGCGACGAAAGGAATATGCCCGTCAAAAGAACATACAAAACCAAAGTCTAAGAGAGGCTGCCGACGTTGCGTATCAACAAAAATTGGATGACAACAAACAAGCAGCCGATAATCGCACAGCCAAAAAACGTGCCAAGCGTCTCAAGAAAAAGCTGCGTGCAAAACGAGCGCGCGAGCAAAAACCAAACGAAGAGAAAAAGGTTGAAGCTGAGTCGAGTGAAAGTACTTCAGAAGACGAAACTGACACAAAATGTGAAGCTGTTACAAAAAGCGAAGTCAACGAGGAAGCAACCACAACGGCAGAGAAAGCTACCACCTCCAATGAAGAAAGGGAAACAGCTATTGAAGCACCCTCTGATGTGATCATCGAAAAAAGAGTTACCACAGCTGTAGCGGAGGCTGGATCTTCCGAACCCGAGACTTGACTTAACTTAAAACATAATAATTTAAAAATGTTGTATACCCATATATAAGAATATTGCTTAAGGCTAATGAGTGAAACAAATTTGTGTATTTATTCATGTTATATATATATGTATATATATATATATTTATATTTTAAAGTTATAATTGGCTAGTTATCGATAGCAACTTGTGTGGCTTATCGAAATAACAGGCCATCGTTTAAAGCAGCTTTGGTGATGAGAAGCGTTTTCATTAAATTTTTTTTGTAAATTGTGATACCCATAGCTTATGCTAAAAAGATAGGTGCGAGAGTAATATGTATGTATATCGATTGCAAGCCATAGTGTGCTCGACTATACAATACCCTGTACCCAGCCCGCTCGAATGAATATTTCATGCATCGAGCACATTGATATTGAAAAAATTAGATATCTATATGATTCCGGGTACTGGGCATTAAAAATATCTTTAATTGTTGATTTTTGTCGTTATGTGTTTCTTGAAGAAGCAAAATTTATTGTTTACAATTTGTTTTTTTCTTCTGTTTTCTTTTTCCACAATCCTCTGGTTGTTGTTCTTCTTCTTAATTTGTGAGTGTGTACGATATCTTCAAATGTTCCACAAATAATTAATAATGTATACATATATACTATATTTTTTCTGCCTTTGCACTTATGAACAATTAAATTAAAATTAAATTTGCAGCATTTTTACTAAAGTAAATCATTTTTTTTTGAACTTAAAGCAAACTTAAACTTGTACACATTATATTTTTTATATATTTATTTGTATTGTTGCTTTTGTTTAGATCCTTTTTGCAAAAAAGAACACAAAACTTGGGAGCTGTATTCGTAAATAATTGTAAAAGCTTTCTTTATCATTATTTTGTTTGTTTTTTTTAATAAAAATTACCTCAATTTCATTTAGATAAAATTCCAAGTAATTTTCAATAAAAAAATTGTTTTGAAATCGTTCGCTCTACATAAAGTGAAAGAAAAATACTTTTCTCGCTGCGTGTCTTCTTATTGTTGGTTTCTTATTTATTGCGCGAGGGCGTGGCATATATATTATAATTATCTATTAATATGCGCTTATATGCAACAAAAATTCAGAAATGACAACATCGTTAAGTTTCGTGTCTATAGAGACTGCGTGTGTTTTTTTATCATTTTGGAATTTGACAAAAACATTTTGAGTCGTACAATTGTTTTTATATGCATGTGTATTTTTGTTGTTCTTGTTTTTTATTAATTTTTTAAGTGCTTTTCAAATTGGTGTTTACACTCATAAGAAAACTATTGGAAAATTCAACTACAGATCTTAAGTTTTTGTCGGCTAGCGAGCGTGCTTTTTGTTATCTTATCAATTTGTTTTGTTTTTGTTTTATATTTGTTGAGGCGCGTGAGTCTACACAGCATTTAAATTAATAGTAATCGTATGTATATTTAAAGGTATATATAGATATATATATATATATATATTTATATAAATATGCATGTACTTTGTATAGTTGGTAGGTAGGTAAGTTAATTGGTTAGGAGGCCATACATTAAATAAATATTTCGTTTCTTTCGCTGTTTTTGCTATTTGCTGCTTGCTCGGTTTTAACTTTAGACATACGTAATACATATTTATACATATATATGTATATATAAATATATAGATATATTTTGAAATATACATATGTAATTCGCATTGATGCATCTGGTAAAGGTGGCTGAGACTGTGTATACTCAAACATGTATATCTATATATTTATATATATATATATATATATATATATATATATATATATATATATATATATATATATAGATACATATATATATATATATATACATATATATATATATATATGTATGTATATATGTATGTATATATATATGTATATATATATATATATGTATATAAATATTGTAGATATATTAATTATGTTTAAATTGAGAAATAAGCAAATCATTTGCTGCTAAATTCCTAACGACATTCCCAAACTTTAACTGATTGATCTACGCTACCGGAGATGACATACGGATGCGCTTTGTGAAAATCTGTAAATATAGCGAATTAATAAATTGAATTTATGTTAAGCATGTGTGTGTGTGTTTCTTACCAATGGATGTGCAGAAATGCTGATGCGCATAGAGCGTCTTCATGCATCGCTTGTTGCGTAAATCCCAGACCCGAATGGTCTTGTCATCGCTGGCTGATACCAAATATTTGCCACCGGGATGGAATGCCAAGCCCCTCACCCAATTGTCATGCCCGTTCAATGTGAGCAGGCACAGTCCAACACTCACATCCCAAATGCGTATGGTTTTATCGCGTGAGCCAGATGCCAGGAATGGTCCCTGATGGTGACCCTTCTTGTTGTCAGCGCCGGCTGCCTCATTTATCGCAGATGCCGCAGCCTCTGGCGCCCATGCAATGCATTCCACCGTATGCTCATGATCGCGTAATTCAACCTAATAAATATATTCAAATTGGTTAGCCATTTGCTTTTTTTTAGTTAACGAAATATTTGTCAATGCAGCGGAAGCCATATGTATTTGAATTTAATTAAATTGCTTGGCTTCATTTCCGCTCTCCTTTATAAGGATTCTACCTGGTTGCAAACTTACTTTACAGTCTTTTGAATTCGTCAACCAAACACGTATTGTGTGATCATTTGAGCATGTGGCAAAGATGCTGCCTTCAATGTGCACGCGCACCATTCGCACCCACTCCCGATGTCCGGTATAGGTTTTTACACAGTATCTGGTAATTTAGATAAACAATTAACATTTATATTACACCGATATATATCTTAATACTAACCCCGTGGCCACTTCCCACATTTTAATTGTGCGATCACGCGATGCGGATAGCACATAATCGCCGGCGGGTACAAAGGCCACCGAGGATACATTGTGATCGTGACCGTGCATGGTTTTCACACACTCGTAGCTTTGTTGAAAGTCCCACAGTTTAATCGACAAATCAGCGCTGCAGGAGGCTGCAGGGCAAACAGTGTGAATAAAAGGGAAAGGAGTACACAACCAGTTATTTCAATTACCTAATAGCTTGCCCTGCGCATCAAATGCCACATCTTGCACAGAGTCCGTGTGTCCTTTAAGACTACGCTCATATTCTCCAGTTTCGAAATCCCATATCTTAATGGTGGCATCTTCTGAAGCCGACACCATAAGTCCAAATATTGGATGAAATATAACCTGCACAAATTAAAATTAGTGAGCAAAAGCTGTTGTTACTTTAGTTGCTTAACTAACCCTCGTTATGCTGGCTCGATGTCCTGTTAATGAGTATTTCTCTGGCGGCCTGGGTATCCATTCGCCGGGCGTACGTTTGTTCTTTGTGGGCGCACCCTCGATAACCTCTTTTTCAGCTTCGGTTAGCTTAGCCTCTAGGTCCATGACCTTCTTTTGCAGTCGTATGACCGATGTCCATTTCTTTTCTAACAGCCCGCCAAACTTCTTTTCCACTTCTGTGCTGAGATCTGCTTCCTTGCGAAAGGTCTCCAATGAATCAGCATAGCCATTTGAGCCCAAATAGTCGGCAATCGCTTGGTTACTAAACAAGTCAAATATTTGTATACAGAAAATGTGATTTTGACAGATTTAATATTGCCTGCTGCTGGATTACTTACAGCTCCTCGCGCTGCCGCTGCGACAACACCATTTTCATGCTGTTCTTCGGTTTAGGCGAGCTTCAATTCTTTTGCTTAATGCCTCGATTTGTTGCTGCCGTCTTCTAGTGCAATGCTATTGAGAAAAGAAACAAAGAGAAACAACCATAGAGACAAATGCTTTAAGTATAATAAATGAATGACTGAACAGGAAATTGGTTCCACAAAAATATGAAAAGGCAAGTTTTGCAAAGAGGCAAGTCACCCGCATAGCTATACTCTGAACATATCAAAAATTGGTGAACAAAGAGCGTGTTTAACAGTTGTGCAGAGGTGTGTAATAAAAAGGTAAGGTTCGATTCTGATAGATTTAAATTTATTGAAAAGCTTCATCTACCGTCGAGTAGATTCATAATATTTATTTTGAATATATTATGACAAATATGTTTAATATGTATATAGTTTATTATTTATTCGAAATTCGGTAATTATTGATATTTTAACAACATTTAATAGCAAAAAGCTCTGTCCAGGGTATTTTTTAGTCAGGTACTTTAAGGTAAGCAATCATAATTTTCATGTATTGAATTTTTTTGGCAATATTGCCTCATAATGCGGCATCTTCGGCATACATTAATCTGCCGTTGCTTCGCTTCGACCTCTCTTCTTCATTTTCATTGTTTCACAGCGTGATGCATGATGATCAACATAATTATCAACAAAGAACCTCCGAAATTTTTTCGTTTGTATGTTTCTGGCACACAAAAATATTTTCGGTTCGTGTGATCGCAATTACAGCGTGCATTGTCTGCATCTCCAAATCTCTAATGGCTCAGCCAATCAGATTGCGGCAAATATGCAACCCTGCGCTTAAAATTGACATCGATAACTGCATTAACTATTCGAATAGAATAATCAAACAGCTTCCAAAATAGTCAAAACAGCATTGAAGACGAGACGATATGCTATAGCAGTTACTTTAAATAGCAAGCCATGTTATTGTACTTGATGTCGTTGGCTATGGAAAGAGCAATTCAATTAACTCAAGGTGGCCAACAATAGGCAACAGGCAGTAGCAAAACACAGGTAGCACGCAATAAAGCGACCAATCACACTAAACGAATCTAAGCGAAAAATCAACGAAAGCATAACGCGATTTTTCTCTTCATTTTTTCTAGATAAGCATTTGACGACACATGTGTGTATGTTTTCCACGTTGCCAACTATACCAAAGTTACAAGTAGCAGCGCTGGCAAAGCCAATTAGCAACATCTAACGGTAGTTCAAGCAACTTCTTATAAGTAAATAACGCAAAACGAAAGAGAAAGAAAGACACACAAAAATGGCTAAGCTTAGACTACACACACGCACATACACACTGACACATATCAGTATATGTATACACACACTCGTAACGAGGAAATGACGTTTTCAGATTATTTTTGGACGCTTAACCATTGCCGAGTAATATTTTACCGAATTTTTGAACTAGCTGTTTTAGCGGAGGACAGTATATCTATATACATTTTACTGTAAAAAAAAAACTGACCAAACGAGTTCGAGCGATGAAATCTGCTTTTTTTGCAACGACTTCGGCATTGAAACTAGACATGAGTCACGCGTGCTTGGAGCACATTGCGAGAGTAAAGTCAGCCTTTATCAGCTGTTGGGACCTGCTCAAACTGAAAGACACGCAGAGAACATTAACTGCGCATCTAAATATAAAATAAAAATCAATAAACAAAATAAGAAATAGACAACGCTAACGTCACGAGTATTAACGGAACGCGAGTGGGTTGGATGTAGGTAGGTGGATAATGCCGGACAACGACAACAACCGCTGTGTTGTGGCAACCGGGCGTGCGTTTTGTTCTTATTGGGGCCAGCATTCCAATACACAGACATGCGCCTTGTAACTTCCAGCGATGTAACTGTGTAGGTAGAGCTAGTAACGGTGTTCCACAACGGCAACAACAACATCAATAAAATAGCTATACGGGGGCGTTTGGGTCACACGCTGCACAAGATTTGAAAGGCGTTCACTGACGCTGCGAAAAAAGGGTTACCAGCCATACAAAACAATATATGTATGAACTAACACAAACACACTCCTACACAAAGGGGCATTTAATATTCCAATTTGAATTGTAAATTGGAAATGCATTTGTAGTTGTTAGTTAATGCGACATGGGAATCTGATGTCAGCATCACATACATGCATATACATAAGGATACAGGCAATCGCGCAGCTGTCCAGAGAGCGAACGTGTGAAAAGAGCACTTAAGAGAGACCTTGCACTTGCCTATGTGCACTTGGCTGCCATTTGCGTGTTTTTCTCACGGTTTTGCCAGTGTTGGTAATGTTAAGAATTTGGCAATGCAGCGAATAAGTAAAAGTTTTCGAGTATCGATTAGCAACTACTACACTTACCAACAAAGTGTCTAGACGCAAGTCAGACTTAATTCACATTTACAATAACCTCTAGCTTGGAAAATCGTACGAACATATTTAGATTGTAAATTGTAAAACACTGTGAAAGCTCATGAACAGGCATTCGAGCAAGATAAGACAAGTGTGAGAGAGGGAGAGGAGATAGACTAGAAAGACAGGGCTAAAAGTGTCAGAAAACAGACTTCATAGATAATGGCAACGGCAGCAAATTACGACCAAGTTTGCAGTCAGTCTCAGACTTGGCGACTCCATCCACACCGAACGAAGAACCAGATAAGCTTAGCTCAGCAAATTGCACACGTTCTGGGAATTGCAGCGAGCGCTGTTAACAATTTTACTACTGTATATGGGGTCCAAATACCACATGTGTTTTGTATTTTAGTGTATATGCGGCGATGGCCAATGCCAAAGCAGCCCAAAACGGAAAACTGTAAAACAAAAAGAAAAAAAAAATAAAAACAAGATTTCTACCGAGACACGACCAAGCTGCATTTGCAGAACTGGTTTGCTTTTTAACTTTGGCCCAATGTAAAAAGCTGTTAGAGGCAGGCGAAGGAATCGAATTTTACGGCTGGCATTTGTTCTGGCTAAAAAAAAATCGATCAATTTTCCATATCCCGGGGCAGGGGTAACAGGAGGCGTAGGAGGATACATGCGCAAAAAAACACACATATACACACACATATATATATATATATATACATATATATACGCATACACCGATACGAAAACTGACGCAGGGAGCGATGTGTCATCACTCTATGGTGGTTGTTGTAGTAGAAAAGCAAAGCACACTGAGGAACTTGAAAATGTTTTTGTTTTTTTTTTTCACTTGTATGTTTCTATGTAGTTTAGTTCAGTTTATATACTTTGCAGCATTATTTGCATAACTTTTGCTTGTTCGCTTTGCTTTTCAATAACAAAAACATACATACACATACATATACATATACAAGCGCACACTCAAACACAATAACAACAGCGACAACAGCACTGACACTGACGAAAAATAAAAACTGTTACGACGGCCATCTTGAAAGAGCAGCGCAGTCAGCGTCGCTGCTGCAGCGTTTCAGAAAAGTAGCAATATGCAAAATTAAAAATTTCCAAATAGATTTGTCAATCACACGCACATTTGCCACAAAACTATTGCGTTTTAAACGGGGTTTTGGTTTCTTTCTCTCGTATAAGCGCGCACCAATACACTAACAGTGTGTTCATACATATGACAAATTTTTTTTCATTTTCCCTATTTGCCCATTACATACACTTCGCTGCTGGTGCGTCGCCGTCGCATTAACGACACTTGAATTAGGCGTTATAGACCGTACAGTGGCATTGATTTCATGTTTTTAAGTGCACATTATGCATACTTACACGATTTGTTACTTTTTGTATTTTAAAAGTATATTAATATAAATTAATTGGGAAATAATTACGCAGAAATGAAGCGCGGCGAGAAATGCTTCCAATATCTTTCGATGCTCTCGACGTATCGATGCCAAAGCTATTGTTTACCAGCACTAGTTGCAGGGCTACCGCGTATTTTTGATATCGATACTTGGCAATAGCGGCGTCTATCGATGGCTTTGCCAAATTAATTGAACAGCTGTTTCAACTATTTTGGCGCAATCTGCTTTTATTTAAATTATAGAAATAGTTTATATTTAGTTTACATTTTTCAACACTGCAACACATACAACTTTTTGACAGAACTGCAATGTATTGCTTTTATCTTGCAAACACAAACACAAGCACAATCTCACTCGCTCATATACAGGCATACCCTGTCGGAGAAAATTTGCCTTATCAGCAATAAGCACAATGATACAGCCATGTGTATTAATTTTTACGCTCAGTTCTCATCTAACACTCAACGGAAACGGTTATTTGTGACAAAAAGTAAACGATATCGTTGCGCATATTAAAGTGCAATTCACAAACAATTCGGTAAAGCACGCGCGTATTTAATGCAATAATACAAGCAAAAAATCATATAAAATTCATAACCGTATTGTGAGTTGTAAGAAATTGGTTAAGTTAATTGATGGGCACTTATTCTGCCAATTGCTGATGAATCAATTTAATGAGCAAATTGCCAAAATATGTAAATGATTCGCCAATTATGACAGGCAGCCGTTATCAAGCCATCGTGATTCTAATCAGGCAGCCTGTTTGCTCGTTCACACTCGTTACACAGGCCAAACATGATAACGGTTTCATAAAAAAATTGAAATCAAAAGTGCTACCAATTTGACGGTGTTCTCTGTTTATCGATAATTGGATTTGTAACGGAAGCATATCCTTAACACAAGACATCAATTGGGCACATCTCTAATATAAATTCAAAGTGATGTCGAATTGTATTTTGTGTTCTACCTATCGATAATTCGACTAGGAAATTTGTAACGGAAACGCATCCTTAATGAATTATACACGTCTCGACTTGAAATCAAAAGTGCTGCCAATCATACTACTGATAATTTGATTTATCACGGCGGCGCATCCTTAATACAAGCCATAAATTCATAACACAACTATATGTGCACGTGCCTGTGTGTGTGTGCCTGTGTGTATGTGCGTGTATTATTGGAAAACGATTTATGGGGAACGTTTCGACGGCCTCATATGCACATTGTTATCAGGGAGCTGCTCTGATTATATATATATATTGTTGATATGATAAAAACAAAAAATACACCAGAGCCGACAGCGTTTACTTTCTATGACCGTTAAATTGTTATTATTGGCTTATTTGTTGTTTCGCATTTGATTTGTGGGCCTGCCGCCTCATGGCAAACCAAAGCCAAAATAGAGAAACATTTTTCATTTCGCGATTTGTTTAAACAAGCTGAAGCATAGGAAATTGTTTTTTTGCCTGCTGCCAGCCAGACTCACAAGAACGCGTCAAATAGATAACAAAATATGTCGCCCCTTGCGAGCTATTAATAATTATCGAAACAAAAAAATGTAATTTTATTTGCTTTAAACTGTCTTACTCAATGGCAACCGTTGAGCTTCGCGCTACTGAAGTCTGTAATTATCGTTATATGTTCTTTGATTACAGCCACACACGCACAATTGATACATTTCTAATGAAATCTGTCAATTGTCTATATGTATACCTTAACAATGGCAATATAATTCTTCGGCAGCTGCGTCATGATCCAACATTTTTCATCTTTTTTGAGTTGATCAAGTTTTTAGAAACCGTTCTTAAATATTTGCATTTTTTGTATTGATTTTCAGTTCATTTTTAAATAATTTTACTTCGAAATTCATTTTTTAGTTTTGTTAAATTTTTTTGTGCCATTAATTTGTCTTATACTTTTAACCATAATAATACGTTGATTTTTTGATAGACATTTAATTCATTTTGATACTCCCATATTAAAATGTCAAGTTGTTCAGATTGTTATCTTTATCAATAATCGTATATTGCGTCTTTCTAGAGCTGTTTTTGGGTTTATTTTTCACTCCTCGGCTAAGTAGTCGCATTGTCCAGTAAGTGCCATGATAAGCCCTTGCCCAATCCCGGGACTTGCAATTTGCTCAAGTGACCAACATATATAAATATATATATATATATGAATGATTATATATACATATAGAATTCTTGTCGCATTTCTTTTAATCACAAAATCGACTTTTGCTCATTGCCAATCCCTTCGCTCTCAATTGCACAATGAAACTTTACTTGACTTGAGTCATTTTTCTACATAAAAAACATTATAGTAATATATATAGATTTATGTATATATATATAAATAAAGAAATATATTAAAAGCAAGATTCTATACATATGGCGGTGTCCTATACAATGACCTAACAAGCAAGTAAGCTTGGATCGATATTTATCGATTTTGCTGCAATATCTTAGCTCAGTCTAATCTGGCAAGTACATATTAATTCGACTTAATATATATTTTATGACACTCTTTAATCAGCCTAACCATTTTCAATATGTTAATCGAGAGTAACCGACCTGATATACCTAGACAGAGTATTACTAAATGCCAAATTACCCACTCGCGAATTTCCGAGTGGTTGGCGCTATCTACATAGCAGAGTGCTCAATAGCTCTGAAGATTCCTACCGTTTGTATTTGTAGATCAATAATATATGTAAAGATGTTTGCTTTTTGCCTACTGGAGTCAGACGTACCCCCTTCATTTTACATGACATATCTGAGTTGTGCTATAAAGATTCGAATATATTTATCGTAGAAAAGTAAATGAGTCAGGCAGGAGTTACTTAATAATGAATAAATTTAAATTATTTCTGATACCCGCTCTGGTTTTCCGTCTCCCTCTCTCGCTCGCCCTCTCTTCGGGTCAAATTGTATGGATAACTGTATAATTGACACCTGTACTCAGTGTGACGAGTTGAACTCTCCAACACAGTCATGATTCGCACTGTAATTGTTTTTGCGATTCTTTATTGATTCACGCCTAAAGTTTATTAATGTGCGCATTGCATTTAAACGAGCTGCTTCCTTATATATGGGGTTATTACTGTTCGATACGATGATTTGTTTTGGAGCCGTAATTGAAAAACCGGTTGCATTTTGGTTAGCTGACATTGAACTTGTTTTCAACTTCCGAATTGAACAGCAACTGGGGGCAATGTTGTCGTAAGATGCGGCCCAAGAAGCACGGCAAGCCAAGGACTCGGCTCTATGGACTGCTCTGCGTACCGTTAATTCTGTATGCATGGGCAGCGGCCCAGGCGCAGGCGCAGGCGCAGTCGCAAATAGCATCAGTGCTAGCGGATCAAGATCTAAGTGATGGTGCGTAAGATTTGTATAGCATTCGGATCTACTCAATGATCTTCATCTTATTGATATCTATCGATATATTCATTGTTCTCATTAACTCTCTATTCATTCACCTATTTATCGATTTGTTGATTCATCTGCTTATCTATTTATTGATGTTAATTTACCAGTATATACAAATTCATTCATTGGTCCAATCATTGATGTATTCTTTCACTTTATCGATATTTATCGATAATCATTCTCTTAATTATCGATATATCCATCGATCCTTTTAATGAAATTTTTAGCGCCCTTTCAATCAAACTTGTTCATTGATAAATTTATCGATATATTAATCGATATATACTGACATATTTATCGGTTTATTTATTGCCCTCAATTCACCACTCGTGCGTCGACTATTAGTAAAAATAACTGTGATTAGTACGCCCTATACGCTAAGCTTTAGTGTGAGTGCTGAGGATAAGGAGAAATATATTATCGAGAATGTCACATGTCCTGCAGGCGGCGCAACGAGCTTAACTGACGAGCAACTGATATGGTAAGAACTCCAAATATTTGTATCGAACGATCCAAAATCTGCTTTTATGTTTGAATACAGTGAGAATTTGGAGCCCTGCACGAGCTATACAACTGTCGTAACGCTAAAGGGCACAGCGGAGGGCGCTAAGGTCTTTGACCAAATTGTTATTGCCTATACGGACTATAAAAGTGAGAGAGAGAGAGAAGACGATTTCCGCTGACTATTAAATACATCTATATATCTACATAATCCACTTTGGTTCTTAGATCCGCAAACGAATTTGACTTCTGTTGTAGCCACAGAGACGACGATACAACTGACTTGGGAGACCAGCGATCGGGCCTGTGTGAAACACTTTGGGATCACTGTAACTGGCCCGGACAGCACACTTTCCCGACAACCGTTGAAGGAGGAGAGCAGCGATACGTTCGAGGATGTCTGGCCATGTCGGACTTACAACGTGACACTCGAGACAAGGAATAATGCGAGCGTTGTCGTTGACCAAGACATGAGATCTGTGGACACGGCCTATCTGGAACCAGGCGAACTGCAGCTAAGCATAACCAACCGCACCAATGCGGACACGCAGGTTAGCTGGACAGATCCAATTAATAAGAGCTGCATTAGCAGCTTCACTATTGTCTGGCGGCGCAATGGTTGCATCTCGGACGAGGATCAGGATACAACGACAGCGACTACAAAACAGGACGATGAGACGACGACAGCCAGCACCGATGATTGGACGGGCCTAACGACTGTGTCTCAGGATTTTGCGATGCAAAGCGAGCCTAAAGGTGAGTGCTTAGGTTCAAAGACTTTAACTCCTACGGCTTCTTTTCTCCTTTCATGGCGTGCTCCCTTTCTCTCTTGCTCGTTGTTCCTACTATGTCACCTGCTCCTCCTCCTCCTCGCTCCGTCTCTGCTCTTCCTTTCCCTTCACCTCCCGTGCCTAATTGCTGCTAATCTCTTCTGATTCCCTGCAGTTGAGTGCGAGTGGAGCGAGTACTCGAGTGACAGCACATTGAAACAGTTTACCCTGTCGGATTTGCAGGGCTGTGCACTGCACACCATCGAGATATACATAAATGCAGAGCGGAATACAACGGCCAAGGCCACAGAGACCTTTATATCCGGCGAGAAGTGTAAGTGGTCCATAACACTTCTCGATTCTGTCTAAGTCTTTGCTCATTTAGTGCCGTCTGCTGTGTCGCAACCTTTCGAAGAGCTCAACTCGACGCAGCTGCGTTGGTCGTGGTCACCGCCCCTCAATCATGCCCAGTGCGTGGCCAACTATCATGTGAATCTAACTGGACCCACACAGCGTTCGGAATATGCAAGTGTCGAGCAGTTGACCAGCGAAAGATCCGTAGTCTTCGACAAGCTGGAGCCCTGTGGCGTCTACAATGTGGAAATCGTGCCTATCTCCATGAATGGCTCCAGGGGCACCAAGTTTCAGAGTCCGACCACGCTTAGCGAGGATCGTAAGTAGAGCGGAGTTTCCATTGAAACCTTCAGCTTTAACCTCGCAATAGAGCCCACACAGATTTTGGAGCCTTCGAGCAATACGGGATCCTTTTTCGTCGAGCTAACCTGGCAGATACCGAGCTATGCGGATCTGTGCATCGATGGCTATCGCATCTCGGGTTGGATGGACGATGACGTAGAGGTTGAGGCACTGAGTGTCAGCACGCAAAATAATTTTGTCAGATTTGACAAAGACCTAGGTGCCTGCCAGGGCTATACCATACAAATAATACCCTATACAAAGGAGAATCTGGATGGAGAGCTGCGACAAATCGAAGTCGAAACGAAGGCAGCAGTTGTTAACTACGAAAAGGTTCGTAACCATTTGCATACATTTCTGTGGATCTATCTGAATAGCTCTTCGATTCGTAGATCACTTTCGATTTGGTCGGCAAAGGAACCACGTCTCACAGCCTGGAGCTGAACGCAAATAATCTGGACTTCAGCAATCATTGCCAGACGATCTATGCGAACATCAGTTGCGGGACCAGCTCAGACGTGCCCAACACTTATGCAGAAAAGTATGTGGAGAGCTATCGCGATCGTGGATTTCAGGCGATAATTGAACCACTCTCTCCCTGCACCAAGTACACCTGCCGCGTAATCCTCTACAATGTGGCTGGGCCGTCGCAGGCGAAGGTCCTAACGGGTCCCCAGCTGGAAACGCTAACGTTCTGTATGTGCCCATCAATAAGCTCTAAGCTACATGTGTTTATTGCCGTACTAAGCGCATTTAGTCCATTGCAGTTCCCGAACAGCCTCGAAATGTTCGGTTGGACAGTAGCAGCAAGCACTCCTTGAGCTTTATCTGGGATCCACCGAAATATCCAAATGGACTCATCAAATATTATCATGCATTTCTAATGCGCTACGAACCGGATTACTTTGTGCCCAGCACATGCAAAGCTGTAGACGAGGTGATCAAGCCCGAAACTAAAGGTTAACATCTTACGCAATTCTCTAAGGCAAACCTAACCTCACATTTCATATACCTCTGCAGGCGACATGATGATTACATTCAACGATCGGGCGCCCGCCGTCAAGTACATTATGCAGGTGGCTGCATTAAATGATTTCGGCTTGGGTCAGTACACAGCGCCTGTAATAGGCATTACGCAGCCAGATGGTAAGCTACCGAACCTAACCTCAATAGAATAATAAATGTAACATTAGGAATTGGTGATTTTGCAGTATCGGACCCAGTCACCGGCTTAAATGTAAGCTCAGATGATCTCGCGTTGGATCCTAATAGCTACAACGCTAATGTAACAATATCCTGGATTATGCCCTGCAAATCGAATGGCCACATCGAGAAGTTTGTATTGGACATTACGGGCAAACGGGAAGACCAGCAGATCAGTTATACAGAGCATTTGCCACCCGATAAACACGACAAGGAGGGACGCATGGCGCACAACATCACCAATCTACTGCCCGAAGTCGAATATACAGTGAGGCTGGCAGTCAAGACAAAGGGCGTGGAAAAGCTGAGCGAACCTGAACAAAAGGAGTGGGAGTCACCAGCGGGCTGTGAGTATTCTGTTCATATTTGATTGTGGTCAACACGACGAAAACATCAGAAATAATGCTTTATCAGCAAAAACTTGGGACTTGCGTTGTGACGTCGCTAAAAATGTTTTTATGAGCTTCGCTTAAGTCTCCAGTCAGCATAAAGTGCTAAAAAATGCCAATTTTATGTCAAATTGAAGCGGGTAGTGTTGCACAATAGCAACGGCCACTTCCTTTATAATATTCGCTTAGTCTCCAATCAGTACAAAGTGCTAAAACTGCCTTGATTTAGTTTTGATTGTAAGTACCAGTGTTGTACAATGTAAGCTTCGGTTAAGTCTCCAGTCAGCATTAAGTGTTCAAAATGGTAGAAATTGCTACTGTTATATTTTGGGCGCGATTTAATTAAACAGTAGAAAACATAACACAATTATATAAAAGAAGTCTAAATATTGTAATGTACTATTAATGGTGTTTTCTTTTAGTACCGTCTGGCCTTGGTGAGGATTTAGTGGGTCAAATGCGCGTTAGCGCCTATGATACAAATCATCCAACCAGCTCGGCAATTGTTAAATTGCCCCGTAATATATTAAACTCAGAATCAGGCAAAATAATGTATGTGGCTTTGTTGTTATCACAAAAAAGTTGTGCCGGTACCCCGGTGATGACTTATAATGTATCCAAATCATGGCCCAACGTGGCCTCCTGGGATGAGGTGGGCGGCGATTGCATCTATCAGTATCAAACAACGCCCAAACACTGGAACCCCGATGAGGATAATCAAAATAAACGCGCTGACAACGTTGAAGACATTTCATTTACCATTGGCATAGACAAGTGTCCGGATGAGAGCAAACGCTACTGCAATGGACCACTAAGACCCGATACAGAGTATCATATGGTAGTGCGGCTTTTTACCACTTCCGGCTACAACGATGCTGCACTGCTGGAGTTCAAGACGCAGGCGGCGATTAAAGTGACGCTCATCCTGGTCAGTGTATGCAGCTGCCTACTGCTGGCATTTATACTGGGGTTAGTCGTACTCTATGTGCGTAAGAGAATAGCCTGGTAGGTGTTTAAGCAATGGCTCATAGAGATTAGACTTTGTTTCATCTCATATATGCATATTCCAGGCATCGTGACTCTGGTCAGGGCATCGAGGATCCTTTTGGCAACGTTATAGCCAAGAACTTTGCCGTCTTCTATGCCGAAGTGGCCAAGCCGGAAAAGTTGGCACGTGAATTTAAGGAAATTACTATTGTGGCATTGGAGCTGAGCTACGCAGCCTCCGAGTTGGGCAGCAATAAGAATCGCTATGCAGATATCTATCCCTGTAGGTTAACTTAATGCTTGCCTAGATCTTGAAGCACTTATATTAAATTTATTGCAGACGACAAGAATCGTGTTATACTGGATATAGATACTGAAGGATCGGACTATATTAATGCTTCATTTATTGATGTAGGTCTTGATTACAAAGTATATATAATAGTATATATGAGTCGTTAACGAATCCTCTTTCCAGGGTCACACACGGAAGAAGGAGTACATAGCCACACAGGGACCAAAGCCTGAGAGCGTTATGGACTTCTGGCGCATGATTCTGCAGCACAATGTGCGCGTCATTGTGCAGGTTACACAATTCCGTGAAGGCAACACAGTGAGCACTATATGAACCAAATCTTCTTATACGTTTATATCTTATATATATGACCTACCCCATACAGATCAAATGCCATGAGTATTATCCGTATAACATGCGCGGTGTTAGCGTCACAATCAGGTGTAAGGAATCCTTTGAGATCTACGATCGCACAGAGCTTTCGGTCGTTAATGAGAAATACGGCCTTAAGGAGAAGGTGATACACTTCTTTTTCAAAAAATGGCCCGATCATGGCTGCCCCGAAGATCCCAATCATTTGATCAACTTTGTGAAGAAAGTCAAGGCAGAGAAGCGTCCGAGTTACTCGCCAATTGTGGTGCACTGCAGCGCAGGAGTGGGACGGACGGGCACTTTCATAGGCCTCGATTTGATAATGCAGCGCCTGAAGAGCGAATCGAAAATCAATATTTTCGAAACAGTCAAGAAATTGCGATTTCAGGTATTTTGCAAATATAAAGTGTATAAATCTATATACTATATGATGTCTGATTCATGATCCTATTACAGCGCATGAAAATGGTGCAGACCTTGCAGCAGTATACGTTCCTCTACAGCTGCACCTATGAGCTCGTGAAGCACAAGATTCCACGTGCCGCACTCAAACTGGAGGTGCGGAACAAAACGGATGGCACTGTGCCACCGTTAACTGCGCCAAAGAAGGTCAGTTTTCCCGATACTGATCTGAGTCGTGTCGAGGCAGCCGTGCTGGATTCACCAGATCCGGACTCCGGATCGACAGCGGTTCAGTTGCCCTCCCGTTTTGGCCTGCGTCGAACGAATGATTTGGATTCGTTGTATGAACAACCAGAACGAAACAGCCCCCAACGCGGCAACGGCAACAGCAGAGAGTGCACCATATAATTTTGTGAGCATTTTGTGACGTCATGCATGTTTTCCATTTATTACAAAGGAAGTCATGTGTGTGTATTTATTGTATTATACAAATATCATTTAGCAGCAATAACAGCCAAAGAGAATTGTCTAACGCTAAAGCATTATACTGTGAAAATAAATAAATATATATGTAGAGAAATATAAAGGTGCTGGGCATGCAACACATAGTTTCTTTTCTCTCAAACGCGAGTCAAGTTTTGCAATTCGTAATAACTTTTTGTTGAAATACTGTTACTACACATATTTTAAAAAGACTAATACGTAAAGAAACGTTACGTTACGAACTATAGGAAACGTTAATGTTCCTATCGAAAACATATCGTTGAAGTGGCAACTCTGTATACACCCAAGTGTGAATGGCAAATTGACAAAAAGAAGTGAACAACATTTATTTACAAAGTCGAATTTCGGTGCAGTCTTAAAATGTCTGAGCGCAAAGTATTAAATGTAAGTTTATTTTTGACTATATAGCCAAACCCGTATTGACCATGACTTCTTTGTAGAAATACTATCCGCCGGACTTCGATCCGTCGAAGATACCGCGCATGAAATTGGCGAAAAATCGTCAATACACAGTTCGATTGATGGCACCATTTAATATGCGTTGCAAAACGTGTGGGGAGTACATTTACAAAGGCAAGAAGTTTAATGCCCGCAAGGAGGATGTGGAAAACGAAACGTATTTGGGAATACGTATCTATAGATTCTATATCAAATGCACACGTTGCCTGCAGGAGATCTCGTTCAAAACTGATCCGCAGAATACGGACTACGAGATTGAGGCGGGCGCAACTCGTAATTTTATGGCACTGAAGCTGGCCGAGGAGCAGGCACGTCGCGAAGAGCGTGAAGCACGCGAGGAGGAGGCTAATAATCCAATGAAGTTGCTAGAGAATCGTACACAACAGTCGCGCAATGAAATCGAAATGCTCGAGAGTCTCGAAGAGCTGCGCGATCTCAATAGACGCCAGCAGACCGTGGACTACACGACCATGTTGGAGCAGTACAATCCAGCAGAAACGGAACGAGAACGCGCAGAGCGGGAAGAACGCGAAGATGAGGCGTTTGTCAAGTAAGTATTGGCATCAGGCAGTATATACATATAATTATAATTATATCCGCATAGATCTGTAAACTTCAAAAACAAATCAGAGAGCGGCACACGGATTGTAGCTGAGGAAATTATAGAGGAATTAACGGAGGAGCGGGATTCAGATTCAACTGCGCCCACACCAGCCAAACTTGCCAAGCCTAGTTTTGCGAAACCTAATTCCAGCAAAGCGATTTCTGGAGTACAGCTGGTGAAAAGAAAGACGCCCTTGGTACTGGTAAAACCTAAGGCAGAAGGACCTCCAACATTACAAGGAGGAACATCAAAAACAGCAGACGGGCCAAGAGCAGCTGATGCTCAAGCGACAACCACAGCTTCAGAGTCAGCAGGAGCGCCAGCGGGAGCAGGAGCTAAAGCAACATCAGCAACAACTACCTCTCAACCTGTGGCACCTGCTGGCCTATCCCTTTTATCTGCCTACAGCGATAGCTCTGAGGATTCCAACTGACCTTTGCATCTCAGAAGCATTTATATCAAGTCCATGTTTATTTACAAACTAATTAAACTATATGCTAAGACACAAATAAATTGTCCCTATTTTCATTTTAATATCTATCTATCAAGATTCCTACACACTTGTGTAGCCTGAATTATTCTGGTATTGCAATCCTTCGAAGCGTTTCACAAAGGAGTTAAGAAAACTCATGTAATCAAGGCTTGGACCATTGCTTATATCTTTGGGAGTACGAGCGGAAAGTGAAGAATTGTGATTCAATTATCTTTAAAAAGATAAAAACCTTTTTTTTTTTAAATAAACATATTTTAATTTAATTTTAGCTATTTAGCTGACTTCAAAAATGGTTCACTTAAATATCTAAGTTTATCAAATACTATATATTTATATTTATATATAGTCAAGGCCATAAGCATAAGGCAAATCAATTTACATACACATATATATTAAATTTTCAAAAATTAGCAACATAAAATGACTAAAATAGTTGTATATATATAAATATAAAAGCATTCAGATTATTTATATATATATATATATATATATATATATATATATATATATATATATATATATATATATATATATATATATATATATATATATATATATATTATATGTGTTTTATCAATTCATAGCCGATTTCGTGGCAAATGGAACTTAGGCTTAAAGTCTTTAACACTAAATACTAAATGGTAACGGTTGCTTTATATAAATATATACAGCTGCAGAAAAATTATAATAAATAATATCACAAGCGAAATAAACAATAAGAAATTATAAATATATATAAACTATAAACTTAACTATTAGGGTAAATCTATCGATATATTATAAAATAAGTAATTAATAATAAATCCATTTAATTTCATAAATTACGAAGACACTGGTATCTGCTATAGCTGCCATATGGTTAAGAATATATATATATATATATATATATATGCATACAGCACACATATGATTAGACTTATATGTATATAACGGTATATATTCTATATATCCTCTATAAGGCTGCCTTCTGGCAAGCGTCGTCACATATTTACTCTTTACTTTTTATATTACGTTTAACAGTCTTTGATCGTTTAGTTCTTTTTCCATTTACTTTTTGGGTGGTTTTTGGGGGCGTGGCAAGCCCATTTCTTTTGTTTTTGCTTTTGCTTTTTTGTTTTTTTTTGGTGTGTTGCATTTTGGTTTTGTTTGCATTTATCTTGGCTTTGGCTTTTCATACTTAAATGTCCACCGCTTTGGCTGCTTTGTAGTCACCAGCTGCAGCCATAGCCACGCCCACCATTACGCACCCGCCACCATCGTAGTTGTGACGGTTATTGTTGTTGTTACGTAGGAAACTTTGTTGCTCGGGTGCGCTGTGATTGCGCTCGTAGAGCTCATCCATGTCATGGTAGACAGAGACGCCCAGCGCACGAGTCGGCGCAAATTGCAAATCATTATCATCCGGTTCATCCCCCACATCGTCGTCATCGTCAACGTCAGCATCTTCATCCAGTATGCGACGTCGCGGCATACCCACTACAAAATCCTCCAGACTACGCTTCACGGCGGCATCGGAACCCGTACCCGAGTCCTTGCTGGATAAATGATCCTGCTGAAGCTCGAGTTCCGCCTGCTGCATATAGCAGAGCGTTAAGCCCTGCTCCATGCACCGTTGCTCATACGAAGGCGTAGTGGTGACAATTAAACGACTTTGTGTCTGTCCAGGACCACACTCCAAATCCGTTAAGCTACGGGGTCGCAGTTGTGACTGCGATTGATGATGTTGATGCTGCGGCTGTTGTTGATCCAATTGCTGCTGCTGCTTGTGCCCAGCGGTATCGAGTAAAATTGTGCGATTCATTGTAGTCAACTGCGTCTGATCCAGCGGCAGAGTATGCTGACTACTACGCGTTGTCGAGCTATGCAACTGCTTCCTTCGCTGATGGCGTAAAACCCTCCAGACAATAGAAGTGCAAATCAATACACAGATAATCGTGAAAATCATCACACTGAGAAGCACCAAATCATTATTTAAACTACCCTGCACCACTATCAGTTCCGATTGCAGTGTCAAGGTGCGCAAATTGTCGCTGATTTCGCAGCGATAGTGTCCAGCATCAGTGGACTGGGCATTGACAATGACTAAGAGCTCCTTGCTCTCGGTAAAATAAAAGCGTTCCGCATCGGGTCCAGTGGGCGAATTATGCAAAGGTTTGTTTTCCTTGAACCATTCACGACGCGGCTGCTCCAGCTCCAAATTCAGAGACTCACTGAGACATTCCAGCACACAGGTCCTACCAAGAATGACCTCCTTCTGAACAAGTGGAATGCTAGGCAGGGGTTTGTCTGCAGTTAAATAAAATTATATTATATATATGGCAATATAGTAAATCTTTATATTGTTTACACTCACCATTCACAATTAGTGTGGCATTAACTTTTATCACACCTGCCGGACTCTCCGCCGTGCAGGTATATATGCCCGAATCACTAGGCTTGGCATTCGTTATCAGAAATGCATTCTCCTCGCGTATTACCTGAAGTCGTCGCTCGGTGGCAGCTGGAAAATCTCTGCCACCAAACTTCTGCAAAGCCATCTCCGGCATGGGGTCTCCACTAGCCGAGCACACCAAGCGAGCCGTTTCGCCCGCATCCAATGTTAGATTCGAGGGCACATGCAAGAAGCTGGGATGAACTGCAGGTAGAGTATATAGTTAGTTCATTTCAATGACAATCTTATACGTAATTTAAAATATAAATTGTTTAGCCACTCACTGCCTATTGATATTTTGAATTTCTGACCATATGTCGAGCCAAATGCATTGGACACCACGCATTGATAACGGCCGGCACTCTCATCGGTGACATTGGACAAGCGCAGATGACCATAGATCGTCGTCTGATTGGTGCTCTGATCTGGATGTATTTGCGTTTTTGTGCTGGCGCCATCGTGTACATTTTGACTCTCCATAACGTGCTGATTATCATGACGCCACTTAATCTCCAGCTCATCGGTAGCAGCAGCCGAAGCAGCAGCTGGTGAGGTGGCCATGCACTCCAAGGTTATATTGGCGCCCTTGACAGCGAGCATATTGCTGGGCTCATTTTGCAGCACTGGCTTGGGTGAGTCAGCTGAAGAGAAGCAAGAAATCAGAAAATAGAGTCAGCAACGAATTAAATTGGTTAAATGTTTAACTGAGACTTACAGCATGTTAGTTCTGCAGGACTTAGCCGGAATAGTTGGCGATCAAGCAAATGTTCCGGATAGCCACAGACAGCATTTGTGAACAACTTCTCAGTCTGTATGCCAAAGCGGCTGAGATGCCATTGACGGAACCAAATCAACTCGCAATCACATATAAAATTGTTGGATTTGAAGCTGAGCTTTTGTAGATTTTGCATATGTTCAAATGCATTTGGTTGTATGCTGGCCAATTCATTGTTCTCCAGATTAAGCTGTACAAGATTGTTTAATCCAGTCAGCGCTTTGCTACTGATCTGTTTTAGATTGTTGCCGTAGAGATCGAGGCGGCGAAGTTTACGCAATGCCTTGAAATGAGCTACGGCTGACTGATCCTCGATGATCCAGGCGAGACGATTTCGACGCAAATTCAACTCCTCCAGGTTCTTGACACAGTCGAACGTATTCTCTGGCAAATACTGCAAGTTATTGTGGCCCAAATTCAAATGTTTCAAACGCTTCAGACAATCCAAATGCTGAGCCTTAAAGTCGCTGATATAGTTGTGCGATAAATCAAGCCATTCCAGAGATTGGGTAAATTCATATGTGTCGAGTTCGATGCGACTAATCGAGTTATTGGATAAACTCAAATGATGCAACTTGGTCAAATTAAAAAGACCCTGGCGGGACAGCGAACTGATGTCATTGTGATCTAGTTTAATGCTCTCTATGTTGCGCATCACATGAAAGACGCCATCCTGCAGCGTCTTGATGTTGTTCGATTTCAGCTCTAACTTCTGCAATGCTTGCAGACCGCGAAATGTTGACCAATTGATCTCCAATCGATTAGAGTTGAGAGTGCTATAAGAATAGATATTTGATATTAAGCCAACTGTTATGAGGATCGATTTGGTAACTTACAGTTTCTTTAGACGCAACAAATTCTTAAAGACGCCCACTGGCAGGCTGCTTAGATGATTGTTGCTTAGCTCCAGATCTGTTAGATTGCTAAGTGTAGCAAATGCCAGCTCATTCACGCTGCCTATCTCATTGGCATTAAGTATTCTATAAATCGAAATGGATTTAGATAGGGTAATAGAGCTAAGCTTATTTATATGGCTTACAAATGAGAAAGTCGGCTAGGTCTTGGAAACATATTGGCCTCCACAGTGTGCAGCTGATTCTTGCTCAGATCCAGCAATTTGAGCTTGGGCAGCAGCACTAGAGCCTCGCTCGAGATGCGCTGAATACGATTGTTGGCCAAGATGAGTTGACGCAAAGATTGCAGATTCGTAAACATGGGCATCACACCGAGCTGATTGCGTTTCAGAGAGCTGTATGGGTGAATGGAGGGAGAAAGTGTTTGAATAAATAATTAAATATATAAATTACAAACTTATATATCAAATAATAGGATTAATCCTATTCATAATTTGTATTGAATGTAATGAAGACTGTTACAGCTATGTTAATAATAGTTAGTTGTCTGAAAATAAGTTGCATACGAAATGTTAAGCTTTATGTATGGCTGTTACTGTTACTGTTAAGAACAGTTAACAGGCAGTTACAGAGACTCATATGCTTTATATTAACATTAATATATATTATAACATGATAAATACAGAAAGAGTGAGGAAAATATGTAGCTAGTTAGTATCTAAGATTGTTGATTACTACTAACTGCTTTTACTAACAGTTAACAGTAGTTTGGAAGTTTCAAAATTCTTATTGAAACGATATAACAGATATTTGTTTTATTCAATATTTAGTATTATTTATAATGGATAGTATTTGGTCGTGCTTTAAGCTTTCCTTATCTTTAGCTTAGCTTGTGCCCTATTTCAATTTCAATTTCGGACTCCAATTGAATAAAACAAACCAGATGGCTTCCATTTACAACTTATAAACGCGAGTATCTAAAAATACTCGCTTAGCTAAACGATTATACTGCATTATCTACTCTAGATAGCTCAACGCAAATGGAATAATTAGCTCAATAAACTCGTATATATATAGATATATCTGTACACACATATATAAAATAATATATAGTTTTTTTTATTGTAGTATTGTTTTCACTTACAGTCTTTGTAGCTCGGATAGATTTCGTATCGCTAGGACCGTGGTGTCATTCAATTTGTTGCCGGCCAGATGCCTAAAAAAGTAAAAATGAAAAAATTTATATATATATATATATATATGTCTATAGATACGTATATGTGTATAAATAATATGGCAAACAATGTTAGCTGATTGGATTTTCGAGGCCCGCATTTAATGGTCTGTAATTATGCTGCAATTACGAGTGATAAGCGTGCCAGAGTCGTGCAATTATTGATGCATTCCACTCGATAAAGATAAACCCCACATTTTGCATAATTTTGCAGTGCATTAAATTGATTAAAGGCAATGCGATAAAATCGCAACCCCCAAAAAAAAATTAAAATGAAACGCATAAATAAAAATAAAATATGAGAAGTTGTCAAAGTAAAGGTTGACTGACTGCAATATACCGTAAACCTTATGCTCGAGTAAAACGGTTCTTTTTAAAGTAAAGGTTTTCCTTGTTTTTTGCATTTTAATAACTGTATTAGGGTAAACCAGAAATTTGGCAAAATATATAATCTTTTAAATCATTAAGAATATAATAGACACTATTAAGACATTAACATGCCAAGTAGCTTATCAAACTTCGTTAACGAGTCTACAGTCTGGCAATGCATTTACATTAATATATTAGAAACATTACAGACTCTGCTAAGTCAATAACATATTGTGTAGTTGCTGTTACAAACTACTAAAAATATAATACACCTCATTTGACCATTAACTACTATAGGGTATGCACAAAAGCCCGCAAAGCTGCGAGGGTTGTTGCGAATGTTTCAAACTGTTCTTTTTGGGGGTTGTTCAGAGGGGTCTCTTTTTTTTTAAGGTTTACTTACAGCGTTTGCACATAGTTGGGCAGCACTGGCACACGCTCCAAGTGCTGCTTATCGCAATCGAAGAATTCGTTCTGGCATTTGCACTCCTTAGGACAGTTTTTGTTGTTGTTATTTTTGGCATTCGCATTTGCTGCTGCTGCTGATTCGGCTGCAGCCAGCTCTTTTTCCGCCTGCTCGTATTGCCCGCCATCGTCGGCCACGAAGCCGCGCGTTTCCAACGAAGCAGACCCAATGGAAGAAGAAGCAGCGGCTGCTGCGATTTCCAGTGGAATATGCAAGGCGGCAAATTCCTCATCGGCCGTATCCTCCGAATCGTCTTCGCGTAACGGCAGAAAGCGTGGTCGCTGACGTGAGTGCCGATGCTGCTGTTGCTGCGAAGCCGCTGCTGCCGATGCCAGCGCAGCCGTGTTTCCGTTATTCTTTGCAAGCATGGCGAAAAGTTGTTGCTGTGGCAGCTGTTGATTGTAGGAGGCACCGCCCGATTTGAGCAGCGCGCTCAGCGGCGACGTTAACGCCTCGCCAGACACTGACGATGAGGCTGACGTCGACGCCGCTGCAGCTGCATAACTTTGACAAATTGTTGTAGTTGTTATCAGTAGCATGCACGTAATTAGCTGTAATTTATTGATTTTATTGAAATCATGGGCACGCATTGTTGTTTTACTATAATTGCAATTATCATTATGGGCGCATGCTCTTGTTGTTGTTGCTTTCACAATTGCGTCGTCGTTTTGCTGTTTGCGCCGCCGCCGGCGCCGTCGCCACTTGCCACTCATGCTCAGCGTTGCGAGGCGTTGCACCAGTATTGAAGACGTCATTATAAATTTGCTAATGTAGTTGTTGTTCTCGTCGTTGCTGCCTCGTTTTCGATAATTATTAAACTTTATCGCTGCACATGCATCCTTTGCCCTTTCCTGTTCTTCGCTTTTAATAGCTGAAACGTGCATTTTGCAGCGTTTTGCTTTTAATTTGCGTATTTTTTATTCTTTTATTTTCTTTTCAGTTTTGTATGCTTGATAAATTCGATCGTTTTCAACTGCGCTTTTTCCTCCTCTCTTTTTTTGCCTACATTCCGTTATTCCTGCGCTGTGATACCGACGTTGATGGCGGCCTCGCCAGCGGCCAGTGTTGTAAAGCTCGTTCGCATTTTCGTCGTTTGAAGTTGCTGCTTCTGCTGCTGCATGATCCAATGCCAATTAACTGAAGAGAGAGAGAGAGTGAGAGATAAAATATTAGTTTAAGGATGCCACCGTATGCAAATTATTATTAAAGATGCTCAATATGGAATAGTATCGATTAGGCAGTATCGATGCTGATAACAATGAGCAAAACGAATTCATTTCATTTAAACAACAATTAACAAGTCCCTTCTAGCTGCTGCTGCTGCTGGTGCTGCATTGCACTTTAAATTGTTTATATTTGCAGTAAAGCAAACTAAATAAATAATAAATTATAAACAGCGTTGGCAAATGACTCTGGCAGTGTGCAAAATAAATGCTCATTAAATTAAAATACGACCGGATGTTTTTGTGCGAAAAAAAAGAAGACATGAATATAAAAAATAACAAAAAGAAAAGGCGAAACGTTTTATAACACAAACAGCAAAAGACGCACCAGACAGCAGCATCAGCCCCCTAAAAAAATCTCTCAACTTGTTGCAAATTTTTGCAGCGTTTTGCATTTTGTACTTTGCGCTTGCTAAAAGTCCAAAGCGCACAGACATACAAGCACACACACAGCCGCAGACACACCTACATAGAGCGAATTCAAAAGAAATTCGGCGGCGACATTCAGATAAAGCGAATGCTGCGCACTTTTTCCGCTATCAGCTAAATTGCGGCTTGCTCGACATTCAGATGCCTCGCAATAATCGGCTGATGCATGTGAAAATAAAATTTAAATGAAAAACAAAACAAAACAAAGCAAAGCAAAAACAAAAACCAGCTCTAAAGATAAATATTTTATAGGCGTGAAAACCCAATTAAAATGTATAATTAACTTTGCTGACAAGCAATTTAAGAGAGGGAGAGAGAGAGAAGAACGGTTTACTGTATACTGTTTCAGTTTTTTACATACAAGCTTAAACTATGCCAACTTGCGCTAGAGCTATTAAATTTGGCATAAAAACTACTGTCTACAAATGCCAATTCTAGATAACTGAAAGAATTGTGCAATTCACGTTTGTTCTGATACTATCAGTCGTATAAAAAGTTAATTCCAAAACTCATTTTGTGTTTAAAGGCCCTAAAGCATTGTTAAACAAAAACAAAATGTTGATTTAGTGACCAGGCATATGTATATTAGAGAACTAGGATTGTATGAGCGTTATTTAGTTATTTCATTATAAGCTCGAGAACTTTAAACGTTGCAGCAGCTTGGGTAACATTGAAAATTCTAGGAATTAGGTTGAGCTACGTCAATGGAGCGCATCTTGAAAGATGATTGCATTCTGAGAATGAAGATAATGCCGTTGAGATAAGATTTAAGATTTTTGCCAAGTCTGCATAGACATATCATAAATATTTGGGATAAGACTACTGTTGTCAGTTATATATTTATTTTTATATATTTGTATGTAGTATATATAAGACTATATTTCTAAAATAAAAATTAAAAATAAATGTTAAGAAGATTTTAAGTATAAATAAACAGTACAACTTTATTTGTTAATATCTATCTAAAAAATAAGCACAAAAACTAAATACTTTTGTAATTATATTCAGCATTAACGTTTGGCCTTTCCTATAAATTGCAATTCCTTTTAAGTTTCGCTATGTCAAACAAAAAAAAAAAAAAAAACAATTTAATTAGTTAACAAATCAATTGACAACATTCTTTGTGTTGCGCTCATTATTATTTGCTTCGGACAAATAATATGGACAAAATGCACTTATAAGCTATGTGTTTTTAGTTGAGGCCTAACAAACATTTTTCCCAGGCCAAAAAAGAAAAGCAGAAAAGGCAAAACAAATAGAAATAATAAAAAAATAAAAAACACCCACCAAAAAGGGCAAAAAGCAAAAGGCGCAAAGCGATTGCGATGAAGTCAAACTGCAAAAAAAAGCAACCATAGACGCAATTACTGCAAACAGACATGACCATATATATATATATATATATATATATATATATATATATATATATATATATATATATATATATATATATATATATATATATATATATATATATATATATATATATATAAATATATATTGTATATATGTATATACTATAGTATATTTAACGTATACGTAACGCATAGGCTATATAGGAGAGGCGGCTTTTGCTGCTGCTGCTGGCCAGGCTACTAAAAATGGTCTGGCACAAACACACACACATCTACACACATAAAGAGGCGCGTTAAAATGCCCAGACAACCAAATTTAGTAACACAACAACTACTCCAACAACAACAACTAAGGCAACAACTACAAAGAGCATCGCGTAATGAAATCAAATAAAAAGAAGCAGGAAAAAAATAAAAAAAAGTGCACGCCAGAAAAAGAAAAACCAGCCACAAAGAAGGCAGCAGCAGAACCAGCTCAGTTGAAGAGAGATCTCTTAAGCATCTTTTTCTTTTTTTTTCAGTGCAGTTCAGTTTAGTTTTTCCTGTGCTTCAAAGAGTTTTCCACACATCAAAAACCGAACAAGCGCGCCTGTTGCAGTCGAGCGGGCGTAACTGACTGCAGCATACTTGTTCATGTTTTTAAGATAGATTACAATACTCATCAAGAAAAAGACTTTTTCTACATATATCAAATTTTATAAATCTTTAAAGAAACATAAAACTTTTCTGGAGTGTTTCCAGCTATTATAACTATAAAATATATGTAGTTACTTTGATCGAGTTGATGACTTTAAAATACTATGGGTACCCTAGTCTTATAAAGTCATATATATATCTATATTTATGTATTCACAGCTTCAATGACTTCAAAGCTGAGAACATTGCTAAAGGCCAATAGACCCTTTTCCTTATATTAACGAGCATAAATTTTTTACTCCAAACTGCAGACTATGTTTCTGCTATATGTACACACACACACACACACATATATATATATATATATATATATATATATATATTTGTATTATAGTAAAGTTGTTTGCTGGCGAGTTGTATTTGAAGTGCCTTTTGATTAGTTTTAGTTGGTAGATCGATAACAACGATAACGATAACAACACGAATTGGCCTCAATTCCGTTTGGGAGCACTCCCCCTAACTAAAGTGTCGAAAGTCTGCTCTCAATTAGATAATTTTGTTTTTGTTATACTGGCTTCCCTTCTATCTGAGAGTCATAGTGCTCGTACCACTCGATGCAATTATCTAATCAATAGGTTTGCACTGTCTACGATCGTAGCTACGATCGTAGTTGCGGTATCTACAGAGGAAATCATATATATACATATATACATAGACATACATTTATTCTCCTTTTTATATGAATTTTATTGAGCAGTTATGTTGAAAAACTTGTTAGTGGTAAATATTTGAATTGCCTGTGCGGCAAGTGTTTGGGTGAGAAAATTAACCAAGTTTCCAGAACAGCTGAACAAGCTGTTTATTTACTTCGTGTTAGAGCGTTGATAAAGAGGGGGTAGTAAAAAAGGGATTGGCTTTACCTACAAATAACCTCTATTATTATATATCAAGCAAAACCCTGAGCCTAATAGATCAGTATTAGAATATATTGATAAACAGAAGCCTTGAGAAAAGTAGAGCCTTAAATATATAACTGCAGTTTCTTTTCCTTTATCTAAAATTTTACAATAAACTTAATTGAATTCTTTGTCTACTAAGAAGTTATCTTAAATTTTATAGCTTATCAAAATATTTAAAAATTTAAAATTCGTATGGCAAAACCCATTTAATGAAAAATTGATCCACATTATTTGTAATCAAACTTATAGATAGCTCATATTTTCATTAAGAATTCATAATCACATAAGGTCTTAAAATAACTTATTTTGCAGTTCCGTATCCAAAATGTAAATCCAACTTTAAGCCCTACTAAGAAGAAAACATAATTATGAAATATCCATAAAAACAATCAAATATTCATAAAGCACATCAATCTTAAACGCCCATAAACTGTGTTTAGTTGATTTTTTGTGTTTTTGATTTTATCTAACACCTTTGACACGCTTTCATTGAAACTATCGATCAGCGAAAGCTGCTGCGGGTGGCCGCCCCTCACATTCGATGACAGTTTGTCTATCGATCAACAGATTCGAAGTAACAGAAAAAAAACTAATTTTTTTTAATATAAATTAGTTTTGTATTGTGCGACAATTTTCACACACCAATCAGCGACGATCAGCTCGCTAATTTTTCGTCGTTGTCTAAAACTGGCGGCCGCCATTTTGAATTGATTTGCATGCATAAAATGCTAACTAAATCGCATATTGATTAGCATAAGTTCTCTTCAAATAAAATCGAGAGAAAAAACCCAATGTAAGGGCAAAACCCACGCCAATCAATTTTTGTCGTTTTTTTTTTTAATTTTATTGTTATAAGTAAACATTTGTTGTTTCAAGCTTTCGCTGTGAACTCGATTCTTTTTTTTTTTTGGTGTTGGACAATAACAAAATTTACGTTGAGCAAATCAAATGCAGATTTTGTTGAGATTTTTTAGTTGATTTTCGTTATTGGTTTTCTTTTTTTGGTTTTTGTGGTCTTCTTTTTTTTTTGTTGTTTGTCAACTCCCGCACAATTTATTAGATAACGGTACGAGCATGGGCGAGTATTGTTTTCTTATGAAAACGACAAAATGTCGACATCGTTAGCTGTCGATCGTGTTGATATGATAATGCCGCGCACATAAATACACAATGGACGGGCCTAAAAGACATGCGACGTATACCTTATGTATATGTATGTGTGTATATGTATGTATTTCTATCTTAAAGATCGTTAGCTGCACAAGAATAACATCATTTGTCATTAGATTTGAGAGCAGATTGTGGCGATAAATGAAAGAGTTGGTGAGAGCGGGACAGCTACAGATAGTGAGTGGAAACTACATTAGTTTTAGTTTTAAATTTAATTTAAATTTATATAACATTTTTAATGCGTTAATCTTGTAACATTTGGTTTTTACATTTTACTTGGAGCTGAGTCTGCATTTTTATTGGTCTTAATTTTTACCTGCTGCCTGTTGATTTGCTTTTTAACATTTAAATTGGTAATTTTTCTTGCTGTTGCCAGATTTTTTCTTTTTTAATTTTATTTTATTTTATTTTTCTGCTGGCTCGGTTCATTTCTTGTTGTTGTTGTCGCCCACTGCTTGTTTTTTCTGGTTTTTTATGTTCGTGTGTGTGTGTAAGATGAAAACGCTTCGCCCAAATGTTATTTTTGTTGTTGCTTCTACTTGTGTCGCTTTTTGTTTTTGTTGTTGTTTATTGCCTTTTGCCAAATGAATAAAAATATATACAATATTTGCGTGCGTGTGTGTGTGTGAGTGACGTTTGTCGTTGGCGTAAAAATACCAAAAAAAATGAAGCAAAACCAAAATAAGTCAAAGCACATGCAGTGGGCGGTCAGTAATTTGAGTTGGAATACGCTGAGGTGGGCTGCGGCGAGGTGAAGTTGAGTTCAAAGCAGCTGCAGCTGCAGCATTGCCAAAAATTTTAGATGAAAAGCTACAGTGGTGAGCATGCATCAAATTATAGTTCAATTACAATTAAATAACAATATCGGAAAGAAAGTAATTGAAGTTGTTGTATATAGTTTGGAATGTGATTTAAAAATTGGTTTTCATAAACGAAATGGATATGTATCATACTTAGTTGTAAAAACTATTGATTATTTGAATAATATATGTCCATATCTATTGCCAATAACTTTTGTCAATAAAATATCTCAATTCAGAATTCTTTCTGCATTACTTTTATTTACAATTACGAATTGGTCATAAGATGTCTGTAAATATTGACTTTAATATACTTTGATAAAAATTAAAAGTCAAGGTATTTATGGACATTTTTATGTACATATTAAAGCAACAAGTCAAAAGGTGATATCCAACCAATTTCCCACTGAGCCGCTGCGCCACATCCGGCTTATACTGCAAATGTAATCAATTGAATTTAATTGCTTATAAGCTGGTTCGTAAAAAAAAAAACATCAACAACGACTATAGCTACAACTACAACTACAAAGCTGATCAGTTGTCAAAGTGAACGCTTATGCTAGTACTTAAAGCATGCATGTGTGTATACAGATGTGTCTGTGTGTATCTTGCATGTCTAATTTGTATGTCTCTCTTTTTAGTGTAATCGATTCGTTTCGCCGTGATCAAGCAGCTATTCAAAGGCACATAAAATTTGCTCGTTTCCATTACACCCCACAATTTGTCTCTCGCACAGCACTGTGCAGTTTTTTTTTTATTCTTTTTCAACACAGCAACAGCAGCAGCGGCTAACAGCAAGAACAACAACAGCAAAAGAAACGGCAACAAAAATTGAAGCTGTGTTTGTCGCGTGGTCTGCGGAGACCCTCTACTCACTGCGCTGCGCTGTTCTGTTCGCACAGTTTCCCTCTCGCTCTTTTATCTGTGCTGTGGTGCGTGGGCACGAGAACGAAAACAGCGCGCAGTCAGCGTCGGCGTTGTCTGTCGCAGTTGACGTTACGTCAATGCGAACTCTATATATTTATCTATATGTGTGAGTGTGTGATACGTGCGTGTGAGTGCCTCTGTATATTTGTTTGTATTGGCCTATGGCTTACAAAAACAACATAAAAGGTAAAATCGTTGCCTATTGCCGCGCTGTCTGCGGCAACTAATTAGGTAACGTGCCAGCTATAACAGCAACAACAAGAACAAACCCATGATAAGAGCAGCGCAGTCGCTGCGCAGCAACAACGACGCAAATAGCAACATAAATTTTGCACACGCACACACACTAACACACAGAGACACACTAACAACCAAATCCAATAAGAAAGCAACTGCGCGGCCTGCCAGGCTGTCTGTGCCAGCGGCTGCTCCGTCGCGCTGCTTTGTTGTTGTTGCTCCCGCTGCCGCTGCCGCTTTTGTTTTTGTTTTTATTTTATTTGTGCTTTTTTTTTGCAAAAATAAATTTAATTTTGTAGCCATTAATTTTCCACTCTAGATACGAACGCGAGACGCTGCCACCGTTGCCCATAGCTTGTCTTCTCGCTTGCGCCCGCACCATGTCTATATAGACGGGGCTAGCTAATTAAATAACTAAAAAGAGTTTTTATAATTGTTGGCTTATTTCATTGCCTTCTGCTTGGATGCTTTGCACAGCACAGCACACACACCGAGGCAGGCAGACAGACAGCTGCTGTATGCACGCACGCTTATAACGGTTTATTAAAACGAAGCCGCAGCAAACAGGGCGGCAAGCAAGGGTGCGAGAGCAGTACGGCATGAGGGGGAAGTATTTTAAAGCTTTACTTCAAGTTCAATTTTTTTTGCACATGCGAGTATTTATACATGTATGTAAATAGAGCTGCGTTTGTGTGTGTGTATATAATAAATTAACGTCTTTTTTATCGCTTTAATGATAAACCGTTTTGCTTGATTGGTCTAAAGCGCATAAATAACAAATAAACAAAGCGTAGTAAAGTATTATTATTATTGTTGCTGTTGTCTTTTTGATAAGACTGAGGGGTAGCTTGTGATATGTGATATCATATGCCAAAATATATACTTATATATATAGATAGATATAAGTGGACATGTACTCCCCCAGAGGTGTGTTTTGTGTGCCAGTCAGGTGGAGTGGACTTAATGAATTAACCTTGTGAACGTCTGATAAAAGAAATAAGTAAAAGAATTTCAGGAAAAAGCTCGTCATAGATAGTGTCGAAAAAGTGTCTGAAGGATATCTATATGAAATGAGTTTTGACTGCTTTAGAAATTGAACAAATATCTTAGGTACATCTATATAGAAGTAATACTTGTATAAAAAAATTATACAAAAGATCTTCGGCTTTTTTATTGTCCCAAGTAATATTTAGAAATTTTTATACAATATAATTGTTTATTAATATAGTTCATTTCAATTTTATTTTTATAAGAATATAGATCGTGACCTAACGTTTCTAAATCAAATTTTATAGACTTTTCCAAATGTATTTTCATTAATCTACCCAAAATCTTTTGTTTACCATTTTGTCTATAAGCTCGTGCAATAATCAAGAACATTTTTCGAAATCAGATAATCTTAGCGACTTATGAGAACATTCTGAGTTACTATATTTAGAAATTGTGATACTTAAATGTGGAATTCGGCAAGAAAAAAATGTTTTTTATTTTTAAATAGAGTACATAGAGATATAATTGGATATATTTGGGAACACGTAATAATATAAAAAGCACAGAAACAAAGTTTCACTCGTTGATCGAAATTGTTAAAGTTTTAAACTTCAGATAGAAAACGAAACTTTATAGCAGTCGAACCCCTTTTTCAGTCAGTATATATTACAATCACAACACGTTAGGAATCGAAAGATGAGTAAGTTGACCAAAATGGCCAAGCGTTGGGCAAGAGAAAATACTTATGTTGGCTCCGTGTCTATGTAGATCATGTCTGCTGAGAGTACCGAACATGAAGAAACAAACGTGGAGCTGGTGAAGCTGCGTCGCAGCAGCCGCATTAGGTTAAATCAGGAGAGGAAGCGTCTGATGAGCGAGGAGCAGCAGCAGAGTGCGAAGGGGAAAATCAAACGAATGAAGACCTTATATGCCAGACATCTGAACATGTGCATGGCCAAGCGCGCTGAGGAGCAAGTAGAGCAGCTGGAGCAGGATATCGAAGCAGCGGACTACGGGGAAGAGACGAAGGACTGCGAGGAACAATTACAAAAGGAAGAGAATATAGATCAGGTATTGGAGACCATCTCCCAGGAGCTGCTACTAAGCTCTCAGCAGGCTGACAATGGTAATCGGCGACTAGGCTTCTCCTATTGCGTCTGCGCCGATCTCAATGGGCAACTATTCAAACTATACGACCTGCCCGATAAATTCGAGTTCTTGATTCCAAAAAATAGCAATACAAATGGCAATAGTCACATATAGCTATATATTTTTCCCAAACAAAATGAAAACATTTCGAATTTTGAATGGGAATAAAATAATAAATAATTAATTAATGTTTGAAGATTTTCATGAGTCCTTTCAATTAATATTTAAATAACCAAGTATTCAGATGGCCATAAATCCAATAAGAACTAATCTTAACTTATGGATCCTTTAATCAACATAAATCATAATCAACTTTATTGGAAGCCCATATCTGGTCAAGGCGCTGCTCGGTACTGGGCTAGAGGGTGTAAACAGTTCATAAATCAACTGTTTTTTTTCCAATTTTCGATTTCGAATTCGAGTTCGAATTCATATCTCGCGCTCACGTCTAATTCCATAGAAAATCGTTTGCTGTTTTATAGCCCGTGACATCAGCTGCATGACAGAAGTGCACAAATTTAATTTGTTTACATCATGTACAAAAATGTAGATACCCTGTACTGTTTGGCTCTGGGGGCTTAATAGGCTTTGGCTAGTATTAAAAGCAGACGCTCGATAAATCCAAGAATTAAAATATTAATAAGCGTATTTTAATGGACTCGCATTTTATACTATATATAGTGTGTGTATAAGTATGCTGCTAAATACTAAATACTCTGTAATAGAGGAGAAACAGGGTATGATAGTTTTGTTTGCCAAAAACTAATTGATGAAAGACTCAAATATGCTGTTCTATATGTAAATATAGAAATATAGAATTTGGATTTGACTTTTGTTGCAGTTAGCTTATTTGGGGAGGATTTTAGTAAATTTTTTAAATTTACAGGGTATATAGAACCGAATGGCAATTTAATATCGTGTATTTCTACAATTTCGGGTAAATTTACATGGACAATTGGCTTGGCTAACAAAGCACACGGAATGTAATCTTCTATATGCTTTTATGCACTTGCAACTCCATTACAGGGTATTTTATGAGGCATTCTGGTTTATCTGTAGTATTTCTGTTTGTTATTACTAAATGTGTTATCAAGCAGCCAAACGATAAGCAGCGCACGACAAACACATTTTATGGCCGCCACAAAAATCAACTTAGCCAAAGGCCCCGAACAGACTTGTGCTAGAAGAAGAGGCAGAAGAGCCAGACGTGGCAGAAGGGGCTCCTATTTTAGATAATGTCAAGTGGGCATTATTATTATTATTATTATACATATTTCCTTTGCAGCTTGCCAGGCTTTAGGCAAGAGTGGGAGCCAAAGATATATAAAGACTCGTTCTTTACGGCCTTAATACCTGCACCTTGAACTGAAATGGGTTAACTCGGGTAAGTCGACAGTTAACGCTTACGGATGCACATCAGAGAGAGACACAGAGGGAGAGGCTGGGGACGTGTAGGCGTGTAGGGCGTGGGCTGTAGGCATGACCAGCAGCAGCAAATTAATCCGCTGCGCGCAATAATTTTTCGATTTAATTTTCGGTTCTCTTTTTAATTTTTTTGTTCGTTTTCTTTGTTAAAGCGGCTCAAGAAAATCTTCAGGCATGTCAAATTGAGTTCCATTCAAAGAGAGAGAAAAATAATGCAAAACAAGATGCGAACAAGCTGCAGCAACGTAGTGCTCTACTTAAAAGTGATCGACTAGTAGTTATCCTGTAGTCGGAAAAACTAGTTCATACCACTTCTTTTTCTGTTTTCATAAGCTACATTTATACTTAAATGATATGAGCAAAGTGTTTATATTTCTAGAGTTCTTCAACTAAATAATGCATTTCTCCAAAATTAGGAGCTAAACATCTATATATTAGATATTAAATGTTGTAGAAACAGCTCTGGAATGCATTGCCGCTTATCGATAATTATCGATTTTATAAAAAAATTATAAGTTTAACTAAATATTGTATATATTATGAAATTTAAATTCCAAGCAAATTAAAAGGGGTTCTCTTAACTCTACAAACATATCGATATATATCGATATACGTTATATATATATACAGACGATCGACAATTTTCACACTACAACATTATACCACACTTTAGCCTTCCACAAAGGGTATGCAAACGAAAAAAAGAACGCAATGCGGCTGTCAAAAGATCTTAACGATGAAATAAGAAGAAGAAAAAAGCTGAGACCAAAAAAAAAAAACGATCCTGGCAGGCGAAGACTTACAAAAACGCGCAGAAGGGCTGTCAAGTTTGCGCGCTGCCAAGTTCGCAGTTTGCAGTCTCCAGAGCCGAAAGAGACACAGATACACACACACACAGGCACAGACACATACACAGAGACAGGTACACACACAGACAGAGTTAGTGCTGTGGGCAAGTGAGAAAACCAAGCGCGACACCAACACCAAAAACCGGCTACAACTGCCGCTCGGGCGTCTCTTTTTGACGGCCCGCGGCCTGTGGCAAGGGAATTGAATTGAATTTCCAGTCGACGGACGTACAAAATTTGTGCCTTTGCCTTTTCGAAGGTGTGAAGAAAAAATAAAATACAAAGCACAGCCAGTCAGACAACGGCAACAACAACAATGAGAGACGACGGGGCACACAGCACGAAATTCTGAAAAACTTCAACTGCAGATCCCGAGATCCCGAATCAAAGAACAGACCACAGCATAAAGCAGAAGAGGAAGAAGCAAGCCAGCAACAGCAACAACAACAACAACAACAAAAAGAAATAAGAAAAAGAAAGAAATATATATAATAATAAGAAACTGAAAACTGGATTGTGGCCTCTTGTTTTCCAGTGTGTGGCATGAGGCATGGGGCAGACTCTTTGGGATTTCACAGAGGGTTTCAGCATTGCTTCTGCTGTTGCTGTTGTTGTTGCTGCTGTTGTTTGTGCTATGATCTCTCTTCGTTTTTAGAAGCATCTGTTTCTTTCGGGTTTCGGCATTGTTGCTGTTGTTGCTTTTTGCCACTTCGACTCGGACAGCAGAGCGCTGCGCTGCGCTGAAGGTGAAAAGTACTTATAATAAGGAAGCCTGACGGCCAAATGGGCGCATTAAGATTAAGGCAACTCAAAACGTTTTCTCAACTGTCCTCTACACATACACACACTCGTCCACTCACACACACATGGGTGTTCTTTTGACTTTTGCCATGACAATCCCAAAAATGTAACACAAAAGCTATAGAATCTTTTGGACAGCCTTTAGAATATGTTTCTTCTTTCCTTTCGTATTGTTCCCGAAGCATAGCAAATGCTCAAAAATAAATTTGATGTGCTCAAGTAGAACCAAATTGGAACAAAGCGCATCTTTGATTTTGTACCTCTTCTTCTTTAATTGAATGTTACGGCTTTTGAGTTAAGATTAAAGACAGACGGTGGGCAACTATGTTGTATCGAGCAAAAGGTAAATGATAAATGATAAATGTTTTTTGTATGTTTCACTCAATGAATGATTTTCTATTCATTTTGTTAGCTCTTTTATGGCATATAAGCCATAAACTTTCAGGGTGTTCTTTGCACTTCGTATAGCTCTCCTATTCTTGCTGTTGTAGCATATGATATAGCTGTAAATGTGGTACATTTTACTATACTCATATATATGATTTAGCATTATTGAAGTTGTCTATAAACTATCTTAAGTCTTAAGTCTGTAGACTTAGCTGAAATCAAAAACTCTTTAACATCTAATATATAATAATGCATCAATAAGTTTTCATTTTTCTGTTAGATCTTTAATGATGCTATTGTTTCTATACCTTTATCGATAGGACAATGCATATGCAGTTATCTTTTATGTCATATATTTAAATTATTATATTGTATCTTCACATTATATATATAGCATTTTATGGAAAGATACGATATGGTACTATGTGACTATATGAAACATATGACAATAAAATAGACATTTTCGTTTTAATTGATTATATTATTTATAGATGGACCGACGGAACCTATATAATAGCCATAAATATTGTTTATATATTATATATTATCAATATTGTTTATTTATAATATATATAATATATTAAGTATAATTTATTATTATTTTTAAAATATATATTATCTATATATAGTTTAAAGAACATTTAAAACACATTTAGTTCAGAATGGATTTTATATTAGAAAAATAATTGAATAAGTAAAACATTATTATGAAAATCTTTAAATTATTTTCAAGTAACTTTTTTTAAAAATCTGCATCCTATTTACAATATTCTATTATCAATTGATTTTTTCCTAACATTTCTTTTGCATATTTCATACTTATTCTGCACTAAAACAACTTCTTTAAAAATCTTCAAGTTTTCGCAAATTGTATTATGTTTGGGTCATAATATAGCTGTCGGCCATAAAGGTATATAGAAGTAGATGAGATATACTAAACAAAAACCTTGTTTGTATGTAAATTTGTGCATGAGTTAATCTCTTATTATATACCTTTCTTTCAATTAGACTTTGATAGTAAAAGAAACTTTAGAAATTCCTTTTTTTTTGTTATTTTCAACACGATTCTCTTTTTCTTCTTCTTAGACTCTTTTCTGTTGGTATTTTTGTAGTTTGCTGTAAAGAAATCTATTTAAAAAAGGCAATACAATTGAACTAACATATTATAGTCAGATTTATAATATATATTATTTTGGTTTTTCTCTTAGATTTCTTTGAGAACCAACTTTTTGGGCATTTGCTTGGCTCTGGATGGCTTTTTTCATTATAATAGAGCGAGTTGTAAATAATTTAAATATATTTTTATTTTATTTTTTTTTGTTCGAAACATGTTTTGTATATCAATAGATCTGTTTAACCCTATGCGGCTGAAGAAGTAGAAGAAGCAGAAGCAGAGACCAACAGACGTGCACGTAGCAAACACACACACACATGTGGCACATAGAGAGATACCCACATAATAATAACAACAACAACAACAACATAACCGACAACTATTCAACTTCGAACCGAATCTGATTTCTGAAACTGATTGCGTATGCGTTGCTGTGGCTGTTGCATGTGTTGTTGTTGCTGCTGCCTCACAGTTGACGTTTTGTGCCCAACGTCAGTTCGAGTTAAAAGAAAAATAACAACAACCTACGTGAAATCCTCCAGATACACACACACACACACA